GCGCAAATACTTCTAACAGACTCAACACATTCTTTAAGAAAAGATACCAAGAATTCTTTCTGCTTCTTGCAAGGTGCTGCTGAAAAGTTGGGTGTTGACACTTGTTGTGACAAACTGATAGGACATGCAGTTTAAAGACTGACAGACCTAGTAATGTCCTGACAGAATAAGGTCTTGTGAAAGAAGACCAAAAGTCCGCTCTGAATTCAATACAAGAAGCTTTGAAACACTTTCCAACATGTGTGGGTACAGGCTGGTCTTTCGATGCGGTATGCAGGCTCTGCAGCTGGTGCAAAATATCCGTTCATCTGACTTGGTATAATTTCAAGACAGAAGTTCTACTGTGGGCTTGCCTTCTACTTTGGACCCTCTATGTCGTCAGTTCTTATACCCTTCGCCAAACAAAAGCTTTAGTACATGCTGCAGGAGGAACAAGCAGGATTTAAAAGCAATCGGGTTTGCCCAGGGTCCACAGTTGCCTTGTTTGGCGGAGCCTCTCACCTGCATCACGAATAGTATGGACTCTGACCGAGTCATAGTGACCTTGTACAGACATCCTTCCTCCCTTTCGGTCTATTCTGAAGTGTGCAAGCACTTTTCCTTGCCTCATCAAGACTGAACGAATTAGCCGTACCAGCATGTGGCCTTTCTGACATACAGGGTTCTTCTTTCTCTGCAGTTGCTGATTTAGGGCCCGCTCCGGATGCTTCTGATGAAGGGGTATCAAGGAAGTAGCCTTCTGAGCAGTCAGGCTGGGACACGTCATCAAGACAGCTTGCATAAAGGAGCTAGCTTGTTCATTCGTAGTTATTAGAGCTCACGGTAGTCAGGGGCACTGTTCATCCCTTGCTCGTCACCTTCCGTGAATTAATAGTCTTTTTGTGTCTCGCATGTGATCATTCTCGCAACGACGTTTCCTCTCAGCAGTGCCGGTTTTTACTTTTGGCAGAGTGCGCCAGTAGTTCGAGAGACGCACTCCGTGCCTGATGCTGAGCTGAACAAAATATTGGACTGGTTTGTTGTGTGAAAATGCACGGGTTTGGCTGTACACAGCACGTAACAATTGCTTGAGGCCGGCCCTGTGCCTTGATTGTAATCATCACTTGTGCCAATCAATTCCCGTTTGATCACAGGCTTGTTGTGGCGCTGCCGTCAAACTCAACACGTGTGATGAAATGTATGAAATTGATAGATGTCATGATGGTTTGGGAAAGGCGCTTTGCATGGGACGTGAGCGAATGCGTTCCGCTCAATATCCATCCACTTCAGAAATAGTCATGTTATGCCCCTGGTGCACAATCTGTTCCAGCCAATATTACTGTCGGACTAAGACGCTTGCCAGGATGTTCCGTCAGCTTGCCACACTCGAGCTGTTGAAATCATATGCTTTGGCGACTTTCTCTTCAACCCACAGTCGGACGTTCAAAGATCTGTCGTCGAAGAAAACTGTATTCAGTACGGTACCGTCTGATGGCTGACGATCCTCAATGCATGCAATTCTCTCTATCAACAATCGATGCAATTGTTGAATGCTTGAGTTTGCCGCACAGTGCACGGAGTTAATATATAGCCGCGATGAGACGGTCAGACGGTCCAACTTCACGATCTGCAGGCATGTCCGACATGCATATGATTTGAGCCACATGCTCCCCTCATTCCTATGCAGTGACGTCATTCGGATCCATACCCGGCGTTTTGCGAGATGAGTCATGGCCGGCCGTATGCCGGCCGTATGCCGGAGTCACTGCAGCTCAATCCAAGCTAGGGGGCTGGCATCGGACGCTTCCATCCTGGTACTGTAGCAGAAACTTTCAAAAAGATTGGGCACAACGAAATCTTCATGCACAGCGCTCGGTTATTTAGATTACTGTCTGATTGAAGGGCCTATGCGCTAAAATTTGGCACTGAACTTGATATGATACGTCACATGCATTTCCGGGCTTGCATGAACCTAAACCTGACTGTTAGTTTTGGCGATGATGTGCACGCTTCTGTACATCGTACAAGCATCCCTTGACTGTCACAAAGACACGTACATACTTAGCATCCTAATACCCACAGCAATGTTAGCTTATGTCCTCGAATACGACGCCCGCCTTGCCAAGCCGCTCCTCCAAATCTGTGAACCCAAAAACGGATCCCGCAGTGTGCACGCCGCCCTTTGCGAGCCGCGGCCGCGCGCTTATGAGGCAGAGCGCGGCTTGGCTGGCGATGATGGAAGTGGAGTTGTCGGCTGGGTCCTAATGGAAACGGGAGAACCGGGAATAAGAAAGGTGTGTATTAGAGATGAGAATATCGCACCTCACCGAAAGCATGCGGTCTGAGACCTTCCGTCCTTCCACGGACTTTCGAGGCAAAACAAACGGAGCTCGCTCTACATTTCTCGGCGAAAGCGGAGCCACCCATCGGACTACCTCTCCACCGTCTGCAGGTTTTGTTAGGCGAGCGAATCTGGCACAAGCAACAGGTAGGGTACTGATAGCAAAAGATGGGGACTAGCCAGACAAAGAAGCAAGACCGAAACCAAGCTGGCCGCGTCTGGCAGCAACTGTGACGACTCTGACGATTCTGAACACAATGACGCACTTGTTCACATTCGCACTCACCGGGCCGCATATTCTGACGCCGACGCACTTGTTGGGCGGTTGGTTGGAACCGGGGGGTGGAGGCGCGTCATACCCCGCGCCGTAAAACGTCATCTCGAAACTAGTCTCTTTGGTCTGCTCCTCGGTGGGAGCTGCAACAGAGGGTGACAGAGCGCTGGTCGGCAGCCTTTCTTGCATCCATCCGTTGTCTCTTCTCTTTGTTTTTGTCGAGCGGTTCAATAACCAATAGAGGCAAACGAGAGCGAAGTTTCTGACCGCTCGTCAAATCACTTTTCTATATGAGTTTCAACCTTACCTAAGTGATGTCCTCCATAGTACAAGGGCACACGGGCTTGGACGCCTTGGACGAACTTTTATAGACTTTCGAGGCTCTGGATTCACCACTTGGGGTCTCAGACTTGTTTTCAGGTTTTGCTAGAATCTCTTGCCTAACAATGGATCGTTGGAGTTCGTTTGCACCGGCACGCGACTTTTGAGTAAGGATTGAAGCCAGGGGCCTGAGCTCTTCTGACTCTCTGTCAATCGTCGACTGCTTACGGGGCCCTCGAACCTGGATGAACCTCCGCCACACTGTCGTCCAGGGGCTGACGTGTTCGAACATACAAAGATCTACTCAATGCCTCTCACCGGCCTCACGCTGACGTATGCAGACGTTTGAGCGTTGACTTAAGCGGCTCACCGGCCTTTGTGAAGAGTCCCCAGGTGAAGAACCGGGGGTACTCGAGGAGGAGTCTCCGGCCCCACTCGCGGGCTGCCAGCTGTACGAAAGCCGTCCCCAAGGCGACGTAACGCCACAGACTCCAGCGGTCGGGGATGGTTAGGTAGGCCGCGAAGTGGAATGGCGGAATACCCTGCAGACAAAGAAGTGTTCCTTGTTTTGAGTTTGCTGAAACTGGCCAGAAATCGAGGGGACGCATCGGGGAATCCCGATCACAGAGTCTGGCTGCACAAAAGACCGGGTGTATCTTATTGAGTGTACGGAGACTGAAATCAGAAGAAGCTTCGGTACATAGGGAAGTCGTACTAGGCAAACGTTACGAAGCGCCGAGTGCCCCGCGAGATTGCCCATCAAGAAACTCCTACCAGATAAGAGCACTGCTGAAGTGCCCACTTCGCAGAATCTGCTCACCTGCGTCCCCTTGTCGCTCAGCCCGCGGGGGTGGTCCGCAAACGTTTGGACGGCGCGCCGGACGATCGAGGCGTCCGCGCCCATGAAGGGGACCGCGTACGCGTCCAAACGCTTCTCCCAGTAGGGGCTGATCTGGCGCTTGAGGGGCGGGCCGGGAATCGCGGGGCGGGGCTTCTTGGGTTGGGACGCACGCAGCTTCCTGGAAGAAGATCGTCAACCTAGTTTTCACGATTGCAGATTGGAGAATGTGACCGGAATGGCGGGACGCGGCTTGGGTTGGGACGCACGCAGCTTCCTGAAAGAAGAGTCGTCAACCTAGTTTTCGCGATTGCCAATCGGGGGATGGGACGGAAGTGGCGGGGACGAGGCTTCTTGAATTGGGACACGCGCAGCTTCTTAGAAAGGATCATCAATCTGATTTTTAGCACTTGAGTGGCGGGCCGGGGATGGCGGGGCGGGGCTTCTTGGGTTGGGACGCACGCAGCTTTCTGGAAAGGACCGTCGGTTAGAAATCTTAAATGCACGTTCCCCTTGAAAGGTGGGCGGAAGATTGGAAACTGGTGCTTCTTGAGTTGGGACGCACGGAGCTTGCTGGAAAAGATCGTCCGGTTTAAACTGTCAATCGGCCGGCCGGGGACTATGGACGGGTAAGGTTGAGAGGCACGCAGCGTCCTAGAAAAGATCGTCGAAGCAACGGTCGGAAGTCGATTGCGGGGTGAACTGGGCTAGACGAAGTGAGTTGCCCGTAGAACAGAAGGCACACAGCTTCCCAGACAAAGATTGTAAGCTTACGCACGCGAATCCAAATTGAGGGGCGGACAGAGAATCGCGGAAAAGCGTTCCTTGCATTAAGAGCAGGCAGCTTCCTAAGAAAGGGCCGTTGATGTGAATTTTATGAGTCCCAAGTAATCGTGTATCCTAGTTTCATCCACTGTATCCTGGTTCCACACCAGAACAGATTATACGCTCTGCTTGAACAGTGCTTCTCATGTCTGTCTTACATTGGTTTCTACCGGAATCACAAACGGAGATCTCGAAAACTGTCCTTTCCAGCAACAAGCACCCTAAGCCGTCATCCAAGAAGAAAGACAATCGTTCTCTCTGACTTCGCCTGGGGCTATGAAGCCCTCCGCCGAAGAATGGTGCTTCGCAAAAGCTCAGAATAAAAGGTCAATCACGCGATGTCGTTCAAACACCGGATTCCTTCCCGAACCGTCGATCAATCTTTCTGGAGTTCGTCCGCGGCCCCTGAAAGCCCTCAATTATGTAGCGGTAGGTCGCGTAGTGCGGCGCACACAGTTTTACATCGACGGACATGAATAGAACCATCTCTTTGCACCGTCGATGGACCTCACTTGAGTTCGCCCGCAAGTCCATGGAGCGGTAAGTCGCGCAGACGCCGCGCACCGTTACACATCAACGGACACAAGCCTTCCACAGCAAATTGAGTTCTTTTTCGACATTTGATCAACCTCACTTGAGTTCGCCTGTCGCCCCAATGCCCTCCACCGCCGAGCAATAGGTCGCGTAGTGCGCGGCAATCCCGGCAGCCCCTCCGTGGATCGTCACGAACTCCTCAATCTGGGTGCACACTGCAGGCGGCTTGAAACGCCGTGCTGTTCGCAGCGAGCCGAGCTCTGCAAGAGAGAACGGAGGGGGCTTCGCTTAAACGGTCGAGTCAGGTTGTAAAGTTAAAAGAGGAGCTCACGAACTACTCGATCTTGGTGCAAACCGCAGGCGGCTTGAAGCGCCGCGCTGTTCGCAGGGAGCCGAGCTCTGCCAAAGGGAACGGAGGGGGCTTCGCATTCACGGTCGAAACAGGTTGTACGCTAAAAGAGGAGCTCACGAACTCCTCGGACTGGGTGCATACTGCAGGCGGCTTGAAGCGCCGCACTGTTCGCAGGGGACCGAGCTCTGAAAAGTGGCACAAAGTGGGTGTCAGGTAGACGTTCCGTTCAGGGCAGATGGTTAGCACTAACAAGAATCACTAACCTAGGGCTCGAAATAGCCGTCAGGTTTTGTGCGATATTCATTCGGACATTCATGCGGGCTATTTCTATGGAACTAGTGACGACCGAAGAAAGTCCTGCGTTTTGGTGGAGGGGAGTGGTTCACCCATGAAACCTTTGCTCTTGTTTTGTGTTTAGAACGCCCAGCTGCACCCCAATCAGCGCCCAAAGGACAAGAGTTTCGAGGAACACAGAAACGTCGTGGATGTGGACCAACTGGAATTGAAAGTGAGATCAGATTGGCTTCACAACCAACAGGCTAGACAGATCGTTCGTCCTTAGTTGAGTACTGAGAACGACAGACTCCGACTGTTTGCACCCTGCCGAGAAATGGATTGTTCTATATCTGGAGGTCAAACGGCGCCCCATAGCTGCGATTCAAATAAGCCAATCAGCCTTGTTTTAAGTGTTTTCAAGTGTCATCAGCAGGACAAATGATCGGACATGCATTTTTCAAAGAAAACCTTGTCTTCCAATGTTCTAATCAATCACGCGACGAGAATACCAGACCTTGACGCCCGCTGACGTGTCTTCTGATGAGGGCGTCCAATTGCAAGGTCCCTGCGTGGCTGTCATGATATCCTTGATACATTGGAAGTTATCTTCCATGTCGCCTCAAAACATGAGCTCGTGCGAGTTGCGGCACAGAAAGAGCTACACTCCCTGGTTACCGGTGGCCAATTCTGATGCATCCTTATACGCGCACTTCAAACGACGACACTTGCCTGCGGGGATGGAGTCCCAGCCGCACGCCGAGACGACCAGGACGCCCCGCTCTTTGGCCTTCTCGTGATACTTCGCCTCAATCATCTCGATGTACTCCGGCTCGCCTGCAGAGGTGACGTCATCGAGATTGGCCTCTTCCTGAGCGATGACGTCAGCAGAGTCGGCTTGCCTACAGGCAGATGACCTCAGCAGAATCAGCTTTGTTCGAGGTGACTGGCGTTCTTTGAGGCTGACGAGAGGGGACTGACAGTCGGATCAGGACGGCTGAAGTGGGACGCATCAGAATTCTAAAAGTGGGAAACTCAGGTGATGCTGATTGGTGCGTCGAAGTTTGTGCGAAAGACGTTCGATCTAATATACAAGATTTACTGTCAAGCCGGAGGCACAGCCAGGAGCGAAATGAAACAGCAGAAATGGTTGTAAAAGAGGACTTCTTCAGTCAGCAGACAGGTATAGCTGCTAGCGTCATAAGAGCGGGTTCCGTATTGTGAAGAAAGGGCCGAGTTTCTTGAACGCATCTTTGAAAAGGCAGCTTATCATTTCGCATATCAATTCGTTTGAAGGAGCCAGAGTAGACAACCTGCATTGAGAAAGTGATCCTTGAAGTGATTTTCGTGCTATTCGGGCCTACCTGAGATGTCAATGTAGTCTGTCCCCGCTTCGATGCATGCTGCCACCACAGGCTCTCCATAGTGCCTGCCAAAGATAAAAAGTATCTTTTAGCAATCCACAGGGAGTGATCAGGTGGCTCTCTTTCATAGCTAGCGGGAGGAGCGTAAGGAAAAGGCTGACTCAAGCTGGGCGCCAATGTGTTTCAATTGAACAAAAGGCTTCAAAAAGGGACTGTACTTTGACCTCTCAAGGAACAGAACCCAATGGTCGTATCAAGAAGTGGACCATTGCACCGTCTCAACTGGCTTCTTCCCCTTGCACGAACAGTGTGGAGAATAGCATTTGTTACTGGTCTCTGCTTTCATGACTTCATGTCGTTTGCTCATTTCTTCTTTCGCTTGGTTGCTGCCAACAAGTCACTAAAAAGCTTCAAAACATTCGACCATCTCAGGAAGCTTTTCTCTCAACAACTTGTATTCAGACCTGATGTGTGCTGAATTCATCAAGTGTCCCTCATTACTTCCTGGGGAGATTGTGAATTGCCGCTCATCACAGCATGGAATATTCACACCTGTAGGGCCCTGCACAGCTGACGATGAGCTTCGCTTGGCGGGCGACCGCTGCCAGGGCCGCAGCGTCCTGTACGTCAGCAACTAGAATAGGGCAGCTTGTGTCATCGGCTCCCAGCTTCGTTTGCAGAGCAGTCAGCTTGTCTCTGCGCAGGAAAAACGACCATGATATTCAGTTTTAAGACAAAAAGCTTGGGTACAAAGTCAAACTGCCATAAAGGAATGGAACGGAGGGGAACACAGACGGCCTACAAATCAAACTTCTTTTGAATACTAAGAACCAAAAACTTTGTAAGATGTATGAAATGGATTGCCTGTGCATATTGTTTCGACGTAAAAGGATGTTCTTCTCAAAAGTAGAGGTTTAAACGGGTGCTGAAAGAAGCTTTAAAGAGAAGGCCAGCTGGTTTGGACCATGATAGGTAGTTCACACCATTTCCAATACAATCTGATGGTACTGGTGGTGATCTTTGGAGCCCCATACTTCAGATCAAGAGCTTTAGTCATAAGGAGGCAATCAGCAGAGTGGCCTGAGTTTACAAACACAATCTCAGTCACAAGGAAAAGGGGGCAGCACCCAGAACCCATCCTACTTAGGTGGGGCCTTCACACTCACTAGTTCAAGTAAGCAGCAAGTTTGGACTGGATGTTTCTGCTCAATTTATCCCTGTTTTTATCAAGTCACTAAGGTTTGCAGGTTATCACAAGCAGTTATTTACCCACCTGCTCCTCCCAGCAATCCCAATCCTCCTGTCAGCATCTTCCGCACAGACTGCCCCTGATTGGATTGTCCGCTCCAAAAGCTCCGCAACCACATAAGCACCGGAAAGACCGGTTGCCCCAAAGACGACGATGTCCAAGGGGCGGGCGCTCGCATTGTCCATCATCTTTAGGATCATTCCAGCTGCTTCGTACTAGTAGCTGCAATGTGGTGGCATGGGAGCTTTAAAACTTTCAAGGATCCTGCCCCCCTTTCTCCACTTCTCTGGAGAGGTTTTTAGAAAGTTTTCTGCAGCTCATGTGGAACACGTTCAAAAAGTGAGCATTGCATGAAACAGTCAGCCGAGTGGCACAGCAAAAACTTTACTTTTAGCTGCGGCGGCGTCACTTTTAGGAAAAGTGGCGTAGGTACGTAAGTTCACAGTAGGTACCAGTGATGTCATGCTGACGTTGCAGTCGAGACTCGAGAAGGCTTGCTTTTTAGTTTTAGGGTTCGAATTAGGGTTTGCATGATGATGGAGAAGATTCTCTACTCCTACTACTAGCTGGCCCCACATGAGGAGGCGCACTTTATAGTATAATTTATAGGTGACGACTTCGATTTTAAGTTTGGGAGCTCCTCCTGCCGCGGCATTGCTGTTTGCAGGACAGATCATCAGGAGCCTTGGATGATTGAATTGAAGCAGGGTGGTCGTGAAAGAATAGCAATAGTGACAAACTTCTAGCTCTTGGTTGCCCCTCAGAGGCTACTTTGTTGCTTCTCACCCGCCGCCTTTGAGAAGCGAATGCAACATCTAGAATTTGCCGAAATGAGTATGGCACCCACTGACGTTGCAGATGCTCCTTTGTTCTCCTTCGGGGTGGTGGCAGACATCCAGTATGCAGATAAGGAGAACGGATGTAAGAACAAACGAAAGCCTCTTCTTAACATGACTGTGAGCTTGATCTTTAACGTCCTGATTGTTGCAGGAGGATGTCATTTGTACAAGTGCCTGGGATGCGATGTGTCTCTGCCAGTTCAGCATTTGGTCCGGCATTTTGATGGCTAACTGGTTGCCATCACAAAAAAATCGCAGCTCCAGTGATCCAAGCTCTGCTTTCACCTGCAGCATATGAATCGCAAGTTCAGCGCTATCGAGAAGCACCGGGCAAGTTTGAAGAAGCTGTCCACTATTTCAACTCAAGGAAAGATGAGCTTCTGTAAGGTCTGCCGTCTTTTCCCAGCACTTCAGCTCGAAACGTTGAAGTCAAGTGCTGCCATCTGCTGATTGCTCAACCTGCCTCCGCTCGGCTTGAGACTGTTTTGGGACAGCATTGTCTGGGGTGAACTTGATTGCGTGAAATAGATAAGTGGACAATGAACATATCTCAATCACTCTAAAGAAGTATCTGTAGTATTGCACCTTTCTGCGCCACCCTCATTCAACTACTCAGCAACAGGCCTTGAGCGACAGAGTCCGCGTATTTGAATCACCTCCCCCATATCTGGCAGGTTTCTGCTCACATTGGGTGACATCATCGACGGCAACGTCACACCCGAGAAAACAGAAGAAGACTTCAAGGTTGTTCTTGGAGTCCTGGACAAGCTGCAGATCCCTGCACACCACCTCCTAGGGAACCACTGCCTCAGTCTGCCAAGGGAACGGCTCCTTAAGGACCTGAAAATGCCGGCGCGTTACAGCCAACATAAGCTACCGCACAAGTGGCGCCTGGTAGGGGCCTTTTACCCCTTTGGAATCAGATGCAACATCTTGATCATCTGCAATGTCACCAGATCTGGCGTCGTTTGGGTTGCAGAAGGATAGCGAGGCTGCGGGGAGCTTTCTTCCAGGAAATCGCAAGCGTGGCTATGGTCTGTTGCGAGCAAGGCTATCCTTACATCCAACTAAGAGGTTTATACACCCGACCTTCTTTGTTAATCATTGCAGGTTATACTGGATACGATGGACGTTAGCGTTAGGTGGCCGGAGGGCTCACCCAACAGACAAGTGAGCTCATCCCCCGCCTTCGGTTATCATCCTTTCAAGGGTATGCTTAGAAGCACTGGAATCGGGACTGGCCTGACGCCACTCCTTGGGTACCATATGTCAGCTTCAGAACAAACCGCTAGAGAGCTGGCTTGGGGTGCAAATCCCTTTGCAGTGGTTTCTTATGAAAAGGGCAGAATGCAGATTCTTGCAGGTACGAGGATTATATCTTGGCAAATTTTTGCTTCCATCAGTGTCAACCTCTGTACTTTCCAGTGTGCTCATATGGTAACTCACTTAGGTAGAGCGGTTTTCAGGGGAGACAGCTGATACTTCTAGAGGGGACTTTCCGTGATGCGCACTCTGCTTTCCTTATACCCAAGTTCTTTGCAACTCTAGGCGGCCGCAGAGTTCATGGAGAAGCACCCGCTCGGTCCTGAGAACCCGCACGCGTCCATCTGGAACGGCGGCGTCGGAGCGGAGCAGCTCGCGTGGCTGACGGAGGCTCTGCAAAGTGCAGAAAGGTGGGCAGACAACGTCTCTTTTGTTGAGGGAGTAAAAGGCGACTGACTGTGTGTGGTCGGATTGTTTTGGTCAGTAGGATGTAAGGACTGCTCTTCAAGGATTGAGGATGGACATATTTGACGACGTCATCCCAAATAGGCAATTAGTATGAGCCCCTCCAATTGCAGAACTTTGAGGCAAGACGCCCCAGACACGTTATTCTTTAAATGGGTTGGAGCGGGAAAGTGGATTCAACAAGCCCTCAAGCGAGCTGCAGACCGCATGTCATTGCATAGAGAAGTATATCTGAAATGTCCAGCAGGAAAGGGTACCCCGGTCACACCTTGCTCGGCAAAAACACCGAAATCTGCTTTTGGGAAAGGGGATGACGACCAGCGCCATGGAGATGCTATTACGAAGATGGCTTCTTAACGAAGGCACCAATCACGGTACAAACGTCTCTTCTTGTCATGAGTCGTTGCTTTTCCGAAAGAGATAGCTGCGACGAGGACTTTCGTTTCTTTGGCTGCCAACTGTCTTAAGTCGAGCAACCTGTATCAGACATATGCCACACCGTCAGCAAACGAGCTCGTAGTACTGCTCTAGGTGATCATTATCGTGCGTGCCTGCTTGCACAGGTTGGGGGAGAAAGTGATCGTCTGTGCTCACCATCCCCTTGTGGCTGGTTCCGCCGCTCCTACGCACCTCGTCTGGAATCACGAAGAGGTACGTCTTCAGACTGACCGTCCTGGACCTTCCCTTCTGTTTTTAATGGAACTGTTGAATGTCAGCTTCTTGCGCCTTGGCCAGCCTTAGGTCGAGTCGAACTAGGTTCAGCAGTTGCTTTTCGGACGCCTTCCTCAGATCGCCATTTCCTCGCGCCTTTGCCAGCTCTAGCTCATCCCAACTTCGGATTCAGCAGTTGTTTAACCCACGTCTTCCTTAGATCGTCCCTCCATCGGAACGTCTACCTCAGATTGTCTCCCTCAGATTCTCCCGTGGCCACGAACCTCAAAGAAATATCTCGCAAAGTACTGTCAGTGATCAGAGAAGCCTCTTTGGTGTTAAAGAGAAGTCCCAACTTGCCGAAGGCCAACGCAGGGCGAGATGCATTTGAAGCATTTCTTCACGCAGTGCTCATTGAAGATTTCATCATAACAGCTTCAAAACCCTCGTTCACGCTCTTGGTTTGGGTCGTGGACAACAGAGCGGATGACGTCAAGAAGTCCGACTGCGCCGTGCCCATCGCCCTCTCTTTCGTTCCATCTTTTCCCGACCCCAGTTTGTCCGCTTCACTCCTGACTGGTCGCAACATACACCGCAGGTCGCAGAGGTCTTGGAGCGATCACCTGCCGTTGCTGCTTACTTCTGTGGTGAGTCGAAAGCACACTACGATTCTTTTTTGGGCCGTAGCTCCTCTTTTCTCTGCTCTCAGCACTGCAGCTTGTTTCTTCATCAATGGACATTGTCTGTCTTCGTCCGGTTGTCGTGCACGCTACACAGACAATTCGCTCATACCCAAGCGTGCTTCCAAGCGGCCAACCCGTATTCTGACCCTAGGCCAGGAAAGGATCTCTCTGTCTGTCTTGTTCTTGCTCCGCAGTCCACCGATCTGGACACTTGCTTTCACAGCAGCGTTGCTGACTCGCGAGGCGTTCCGTTGAGAGCTGTTCATTCGGGAGTCGTCTCGTTTATAGGGGGAAGAGCCCGGTCACTTTTGGAGGTCCTAGGGACGAGCTAGCATGCAGCTTGACAGAGCTTTGGCGACCTTTATAATTTCAGAGGCCCCGAGATCCTTTACACTATTTGCACTACTAGCGAACCTCACGAAATCGGATTGGCTAGCGTATTCCAGAACAGGTCAGTGCGTGCGGTCGCTTACATTTGGAGCTTTTCCTTTCGTGTGACAGGTCATTACCATATTGGCGGCTACGCTCAACCAAAGCGAGTGCATTACTGCACTTTTGAAGCGATTCTAGAGGCCCCGACCGACGAGGTTGCACATGCTGTTGTACGCGTCTTTCCGGACAAGCTGGTCATTGAGGGGCAAGGAACGGTGACATCAAGAACGTTACAATTCTGACCAGAGCGTTGCAATCATAGATTGAAAGAAGGCAAAAGATTGAAAATGCCACAGTCCATGTGAGTACCGCACGCGTGTTGAATAAGTAGGCTCTACTTTCAAGCATGACCTGTGAATTTCACGCAAAATTCTCAGTTCACACGCATTGGCCAGTGACAGAAACTGCACATGCAAGCGGCGCCTAGTCTCTGATCTGGATGTCAAAGACTACGAGTTCACAAAACATTTGGACTTGACACCTCCATCAGTGTTTAGAGCTCGCAGCCTCGGGCCAATTCAAGCGCTTGCAAAGATTTCTTCAAGCCGATCGGCCGGAGACAAATTGATGTCATAGTATTGTGCCGATATAGTTCCTTCGCTACTTGCATGCATGATGCATGGCTTCGCTTCTTGATTGAGCCCTCAAGATAGTGAATTCTTTAAGTGGATCAAAATTTGACAATGTACCGTCTAGAATATACGCGCCGCGCCATTCTGGGCAATTGCGATCATGAAGCCGACACAGTGTCAGTGCTTCAAGTTGTTGGATGTAAGTCTGATATGTAAATCAGACTGCAATTAGGGGGCTTATAATCGGGATCCGATCGTCTCTGTCTAGCTGTCGAATCTTATCATCTTGACTAGGACACCATGAATTGTGTCGGCGTTTCAAAACTCAGTATCGAGATGCAAAGGAACCTTGGTTTGTAGACCGTGCTTTTCTTTGTTTCATAGGTTCAACAGATTTTGAAGAAAAGTCAGTTGAAGCAGAGGAAAACCAATTTCGTTGACACGAGAGGCATCTTCCGTTCCGAGCCTAGCTATACAAATCTCCTGCAGTCGGTGATGGTCTGGCTTGCGGCCCTTGCAGCAACGGTCCGATCGTCCGACAGGAGAGTAAGCAGACGGCCCTTAACCCAAGAATAGAGGGCACGGGTGACCTGGAGTTCTTTTGGAGAGGGAAGCTAGTCGGTAAATCCATGTATGGAAAGGTCTCTACACATGCTGAGAGTTTTTCAAAGCTAGATCTTCAAGGACCCCCTGGCTTTTGCACGACTAAGCCCATATATGTGAAAAGAAAGACATCAAGCAGTCTTTTTCAAAAACTCCAAACCGGCCAGTGACTCGCATTCACACATTTTATTCCTCGGCCAAAAATACTAAAGCTGAATCCGCGTGGGCTTCGAGAGAAGGCGGGCAACAGTCCACGCTGTAAAGCCATGGCACAAAAGCAGGGCCTTAGGCAGAGCCCACAGCGAGCAAGAAAAGCCAGTGAGCTTGAAGAGAGACAGACCATATTGTCAGCACTTTATCCAAACAGTCCACACTTTCTCCAAATAGTCCAAGTGAATTCCAGTGTAGGAGAAGTTAACTCGAGGATCGGGAGATCAGCTCAAGCTGAGCTCATGCAAGGGTACATAAACAGCTGCCAAATGCAAGCTGAGCTCGATGAGCAGAGTGTATGATGCGAATTGGAAGAGCTCTCTGTGGTCACATGTAATCGCCCGCTCATGATCATGAGCCATGCTCTGCTTGCAGCCAGCACCAAGAGTTGAATTCTGAGCTGAGCTCTCTCGGTAGAGCCGTCATTATTGGAGCAAGCTGGATTAGCCGGTCTCCCCCAATCTGTAAAAAAATGTAGTCTGAATCAGCCTGCAGAAATATTGGTTTGGGCCGGCAAACGATTGGGGTGACTTGTTCAAAAGAGGAGCTGATATCTTGATGAATCTGAGTGCGTCTGGGCCGCCTTTCGCCCCCTTGAATGGGCCTCGATCATTTGAGTTGTCAAAGGAACAAGTACCGGTTTCTTGCAGTTCGCAAGCTTGCTAACTAATTGCTTACGCGACGTTAAAACGACATCGTCAGCCTTTCTTGTAGCTGCACGTCGTCAAATTCGAAAAACATCTCTCGCGTCTAGAGGTCTGGATCTATGACAACGTGATAATTAGAACAGAGACTCCGGTGCGTAACATAAATATGTAACTTCGTACTATATGCATCAACTGCTGCTGTTTCAAGGATGTTTCAAATCATGATAGACCAGGACCGGACTAGTAGCACAGCAAGACACTGCCGCCGTCAATTGGCTTGCAAGTTGCGCAGCCTTGCATACGGTACTATCTAATCCATGTTCTGCACAGCTACATCGATCCTGGCATGTTGCAGCCAAGGATTGTGCTCGAAGAAGAAACAATACCCAAACTTGAAACCCAGAGGTGACATGCCACCTCCTCGCCCACATAACCACTTTAAACCCCCAGGGCCCAAACCAACTTCGAAATTTCCGCCGCTCGTCCCCTATTAGCATCGTGTCCCTTGGTCAACATGAGTCAAGACAACTCATGAGTCATGAGGCTCGAAGCCTCATCAGCAGGTAGCGGCGCCCGGATTGCCATGCACGCAGCTTCAAGTGCATTATGGAGTAAATACATCCGCTTTTCATATGGTCGGGAGTCTACACTGGTCACCAATAGAGGAACGAAAGCTTGTATGGGGCTTTTAATGCGGCTCCACTGCGGTTACCGGTACATCCGACCGGGTACTCAAACTGTGATCACACGACGTTGAGTCGTTGACTGCATAATTGTCGCAATCGCCGGAAGTTACTAGCATTAAATGCACCTCGGCAAGTAATGATGACTCAGGATTCGCCGCGCTTTTGCTTTAGGCTAGCTGGCTGGGTAGCTGGCTGGATCGTTTTCTAGAATAGGTTTAGTAAGCTCAAGTTTTAATAATGGGACGGATAGGGTTAGTTATATGTACTTAATTAATGTTTAGAGTGGGTACGGGTGCGGAGCGGGTGATTATTTGGGTTTAGGTTTATATGTGGTTTAGGTTTATATGTTAGCTTTGTTCTTACTAAATCTATTCTAGGGAAGTATCCTGGCTGGCCTGCGACTAGGCTGCGTGGATGTCAGCTGTGGAAGGCAAGCTGGAAACCTAGTCCGGATAGAGAGGAGAGTGTGCTAGAGGACCACTAGGGCTCCATTAGAAAGACGTGCCATGTCATCACCCTTGGGCGCCCAGCCTGTACCTAAGAGATGCAGATGGTCGGCCGAATCCCAGCTGGAAAATTTCCGCTGGTGCGTTTTGCGCACCAAATGGCGTCCTGCCAGCAACCCCTGATTTGTGCGCGTTTGCGTTCCGCGCGGTCTACCGTATGCTCGGACAATCAGCAACTGTGGGCCGTTGTAAAAGATTACTGCACCGGGAGCCTCTAGTGTCACAGTTGATGAAGCAAAGTTTTGAAAGGGCCCGGGTTGCTCATGCTTCCTGCTCCTTCTACGTCAAGGTCTAGAAACAAGTTCTAGCCAGCTGATTACAAGCTCTTTCCCTGACTTGGCGTTATGGCTAGATCCACGTAATTAGTCACAAGGTTCAAATGCTATCCATTCAAGCTGATGGAGCTCAAGGAACGAGGAACATTGCACGTTTTGGGTTTAGGTGAGCTAGTAGTGTGGTTGTGCTTGTTACGATTGCCACCAGCAGCTTGGTAATTATGGTGTTTCAGGCTGCCTTTGGGTGCATATCATAAACGAGATCCAGGTAGTTGCGATCTGGGCGCAATGCAACAAAATACTCTGGGGTACAGCAATCAGGGGTGCTCTCAGCATCATCGTGATAGCCATCTGCAAGCTTACACAGCTTGTCACAAGGTGTAAGATCAGGCGCGCAGTGTGCTTGAAGAGCCTCTGCGGCAAATTCAGCTGTGTTCCAAAACAGCCCTGCAACACACTGAGCTAAAGTCCAACATTACCAGCTTGTACTCTATAGTACAGAGGGAGGAGCTCTGAAGTTGGCCGCGCCAACCACTGATTTTCCAAACCTAGATCTTTACCAGCTCGCCCTCACAGCATAGGGGTGCTCACACTTTCCAGCAGCGTATCTTTCATACTCTATACCCGCACAAGTCTGTAAGCTCCTCAAGAAGCTGCTGATGTCATGCGTCGCTCCAAAATCAGCTAGCTATCTGATCACCAATCACGAGTTATGCTGCAGACCGCCAGACCTCCGCAGCTGGCGTCAATAGCTGGTTGCACCCCACTACTGCAGAATTGCTGCAGTCCCTCACCCAGCTTCGCGCAGTTCCTAACTGCTGAGAAGACTACATGTATGGTTTCGCCGACAGAGGATGTGGTCCGATTCGGACCGTCCAAGCTGGTCGGATGCTGGGTGGTTACGACGAGTGCCGACGGCCGGTTTGCCGCGTTCGTAGGGGAGGTCCTCAGCTGGGCTGTTACGGACGGGGAGTGTGTATACGCGGTAAAAGACGTGCTTAGCGGGTTTGTGGGTGACAGAGTGCGCGCGTCGGAGATGGCGTATCTGACGGACGATCGGAAGGCGGGAACGGGGACGAGCTAGCGAGAGGATTTACCGGATGCATTCATTGAGGTGGGCGCAGGATGCGGGGCGATTTGTGCTAGATATCGGCATGCTTGAAAAAAGTAAGAAACTGAAAAATTTGTAGAATGTAGAGATAGGCTTTTAGATGACCAAAGACTTCGATTCGAGCAGGATTTGTTGAGGTCCGGAAATAAGAATTACTGTATGAAAAGATTGCTTGCGGCTGCTGAAGAGTGCAGATTGTTTTGAAGAACATAAGTACAGGCAAAGACGGACAATAAGACCATGCGCTTTTGACCGTGACGTCTCAAGAGCATTGAGCGTCTCAGGCCTTCAAGATCATCTGTGAAAAGAAGGAATGTGGATTGCCGTTTCATTGCCCTTTCTATGGTTGAAGCCGTTGGAATCAGAAACTGCTGACAAAGCCCACACTTGTTTGTGAGCAGAGCTCTCTTCCGGCTTAGTCAATCAGCCCATCCAGGACGTGTGCTCTGGTTCACTTGTTTCGACGTATGAGTTCTAAAGTCGACTGGACAGCCAAAGAACTTGCCCATGTTAAGCTCAAATTCTCAAATTGACTTAGCTTCCATACCACACTGGAATTTGGCCAAGCACATCTCAAAACGTTGGTGCTTTCCTTTTTTGGCTCTACGCATGCTTTTCTGAATGTTTCAAAGAAATGAAAGTTTTGGATCCTGTCTTCGCGAGCTTCGTTCCGCTGTCACTATTCTCTTTACCGTGTCAATCTCGCTTCAGTCTCCACATTCTGATTCTTTGGTCTCGTAGGCACGTGTGCAAGAAGTTGGAGTTTTCCTCTCATTCTTCTTGCCGATTGCTCAGAACAAGAAATCTTGTCACGTATCTTGAGACAATTATCAGTCGGAAACCGCAGACTAGAGCCAAGGTTTTGGCGGAGGTCGAGGTTCCTATCAGTCGCAGAAGTCCGGTCACTCATCTGATGTTGCTCATGTGCGCTGAATCTGACTTTGAGCGTGAGTATATACTCCGCTTTCGTTGTGTTAGTAGCCGCTTTCCGACTGGCTGTTGTGTTGACTGAGAGCGGGTGCAGCAGGGGTCGATCGTGCGCTCAACCACGATTCGTTCGTTCGTTTGTTGAACCTCAAGTCCTCGTTCGAATCATTCGTTCCACTGCTGAGTGAAGTTATTTCGCGCCCACATCCTTGCTCCCCGAAGCGTGACTTCACTCATCCGCTCAACCGCTTGGATTGAAGTTCCCTGAGGGAGCTCTGAACTCTCTCAAAACGTTTAGCATTGCACAGAACCCGTCAGAAGTCTTTGATTCATATAGTCCGCCGTGATGGACCCGTAGCCGACATTACCCGAATATGCTTCAGCCCCCGTGGATCGGGCCCTTCATCTCCTCCACGCATCGCCTTCCAACCCCATGAGGTCCCTCTTAGAAGTTTGGGCGATCCTGCTCATTCCGGGCTTGAGTAGATGCTGCAGCCTTTTCGAGTAGAAAATAACGTCTCCTCACTTCCGTAAAGCTTGACAAGTGCTTTGGATTTTACACCTCCCGTTCAAAATTTGACCTTTCCCATCAGACAAAGAAGGTCTCTCAGGTCTCTCTCTTGATTGCCTCCGAGAGTGGTCCGAGCTCTCCTTGATCAGAGGTCAGACTTGCCGTTATTCGTCATTACCTTGTCTTGTGCAAGGGCCAGAGCGACATCTGGTTTGTTAGCTTCTGAATGTTTGACCCCTTCGTGTGGTCGTTGCGCTCTACCGAGACTTCAGAACGCGGGACGGCTATGTTAAGCGCGCCTTCTCGCAGGCAATCAGCTTCTTTTCTCGACGCCGGCCCGTTATATAACATGATGTAACACTGTCCTCCCTTGTAAAAGCCACTTCAAGGATGTCAACTTTTTCCGCTGGTATTGCAGGTGTCGTCATTTGACCTTACTCCCCTTACATATACGCGTTGGGATCTGAAGGTCGAGACACGGAGTTCTGGAACTTCGTTGTAATTCTCATCACCTATCCCTACCAGCATCTGGATCCTGGTTTGGCGATTTCGTTACGCAGCCCGGCTTCGATATCGGTATTTCCCTTTTTTCCACTCTGCTAACTTAGCGGAGCTCGCTATCTCGCGACGGAAAAACATTTGAGATGTTTATGTCCTTCTCCACCTGCCTAAGAGCCTGCTTAAGTACAGAATCTGGCCGAACATGTAGGTTTCATGTAGGAGAGCGGAGTTCTGAGAGAAGGTACGGGGCTTGCAGCCTAGCGGGGAACGGCTAATCTTCTGGCGTAGCTGCCAGTATCGCTCCTCGTGATATCTAGTGGTCATCCCTAACCGTTCGATATGGAAAGCTTATGGGCTCAACGGTTGAATAATGAGCGGACCTAAGAATCTGCAACCTGCTAATCGACCAGTGTGCCCATGTGATCTGCTTAAACGCGAAGCCGTTTAGTTTCTTCGTTTCAAATGCCAAGTAAACAATTACACAGGCCGTCCTTCAAGTGCCATCTGCTCCGACCATTTGGCAAGCCAGAAAGCGGGAGTCCTCGATAGCAAGAAATCTCACTGAAAGTCGATCGGCTGGTTCAAGGATCTAACCGTGAACAAATCTGTTCTTCCGATTGCAAGGATTCATGCAAGGACTTGACAGTCTAGACGACAACCCAGATGACTCCCGTTCCAGAGGTGAAAGTGCCCTGAAAGTGTTTGTGCCGTCCTACTAGTCGACCCTTCGGGTTCAAAAGTATCTTGATGACACGTGTCACCACGGCTTTCTTTTACGCAACAGGAAGCTCAATGTCCAGCTGTATTCGCTACTAGGCGAAGCCCAGCAAGGGCGCAATTCTGCAGTAGGTATATTCCGCTGACTGGTACACCTAGAATTTGAGCTACAAAGGACTCAAACGGCAGTCAACTCGACTGTCATGATCGACTCACCATGATCATATATGTTATCATATACGAGATATGTCGTATTCCTGCGTCACGTTATGTCCATTATAGTACTAGCTTTGCATTTTGCAGAAGTTGCGTATAGCCAATTGTCATGGGAGACGCGTCAAGTAGGCACAGCTGATTGGCAGCGCTGCATCCGCTCGCCGGACATGTGATGAGTTGACAGCTGGGCGGCTGCATGCTGGCCAACAGAAACTGACTGTCTACACCTGGCGCCTCGATGCATGGACGGGCCCGCATTGACAGCTGCAACTATGGCATGCCTTGCACAAGCTGGCTAAGTTTGGATCTAACAGCAAGATTACATTGGGACTGGGGGTTGTGTTTTCTGGACTGCATGCATTTCAGTTTTGAGTACAGTCGGACCCGGATATGCAGTGTATAAGCATGCCATGAACTCGTTGCCAGATCGCTTGCTGCATGTTGGAACTCGGCGCGCAGTTGTATCAATGAGATGACCGGGTCTTCCGGCGAGACACAGTTGACCGGTGCTTACATAACATACATAACCATTCAATGTATGGGCACATGTTCAGCTTCACGACGCACCGGTGCCGGTAGGTTGGAAAATCGACCTTGACTACATGCATGCTTTCTGTCCACGACCTGATACCTCAAACATTCTGCAACCAGCTGGCGAGCGAGCGGGGATATGTGTGAGCACAAGCCGAAAACTACTAGTTTGCCGAGGCATGCCTCTGGCCATGCGTCAGCATGGCAATCGATATAACCGCCGTCTGTAAAGTCCGGCATCAAACCACAAACGAGTACTGCTTTGGGGCATCTGGACTTGTGCGTTTGGTCCAGACCTTGCTGCCAGGTGTCCAATGTGCAACTGTGGAGGCATGACGCACGAACTGTACGTAAGCGATCGCTCTTCAACAACCGAAGTTGCAAAAGCCTAGATGCGCACTTGGCACACTGAAGCGGCTCACAGCCAGACGTGGATAGAACACTTGCGTTTTCAGATTTGAGCACGCCACATCCAGCGTCTCTTCCTTGCACACGTATCCTTGTACGGCAACGAAGCGCGGCACGGCGGGTCACAAACAGCAACCTGCATCTACACCATTCTACTTCCGCTGAGCGGCCCCAGCGGCAGCCGGGGGGCCACCTGGCCGGGGGGCGCCGGGCGCTCCGGGGGGGCCCGTCTCCCTGGGGCGGCGGAACCGCTGGGGGGGGTCACGGTTCCTCCGCGCGACGCGAGACCGCACCCGGACGACGTGGGAGTGGACAGCGCACGACACACAGTACTGCACAAACAGATTAGGTGCACTCAGTACATTTGTAAATTCACGTGGGATAAGAAAAGACGGCAACTTAATTGAGTAAAATTACTGCCAGCAATCTGGGTGGAGCCTGACCGTACCATGGACCAGCTCTTGGGTGTGCTTGCATAAAGCCGGTCATACTCCGAAACCCTGAAACCCCACTACAGGTTTGCTGTGAACCCACAGCCAGATTGCGAGCTTCTGGGTAAGCTGCTGTGCCCCAACGGGACCTTCTGCTACTGAACGAAATCAGTCCTGACTGGCAGTCCCCCCTTCACAACGGGCCGATGTCCCCGTTCTATTGGAGCACTTGGAATGCCTTGGCTCTTGCCTAGGACCCCAAGCAGCGCAAGCTGTTTCACCCATTGTCCACCTCTACTTGTGTGTCGTCCAGATAGGGCAGAAAGCTCTTCCATTGAAAATAGACAAGCCAGGAACGTGTGGCATGTATCGAAAGATGTGGACAGAGCGGGTGCATCTTCCTGATGAAGGCCCTCAATTGTCGCACCAAATCAGACCTGATTTAGATTATCACGGCTTCTCAGCGCCCCTAAGTCGTAGCACACTTGCGTGCCCGTGAAAATCAAAGCTTTCTCAGGAACCGCCAGCTCACCAAACCCAAGCAATCAATCTAAAGTGGCCCCTTCTAGCCCAAAAACCGTTCTGATCTAGCAGTATAGGGGCAGCAAGCCAGCAGGGTGCCCTTCCAGAAGAAGCGGGCTTCTTTGCAAACCAATTCTAGGCCGTTTGCGCTTCCAGAAACACCTTGACGACAAATGCGGTGAACAAGTCCAACGACAGACAGCACGGTAATGGTTCATGAGAGGGGGATGACCGAAAGAAAGTACCCCTGCTGTCATGGACTCTTTTGTGCGAGTTCGGCGGCGTCTAGTCCTTCCTCGTATCGTGCGCGGCCAGTGCTACATAGGTAAACAGCTCCTTACAAAATCCTAAACCCCAGATGTCGACCACGCAGATGGATGACCTTGCAATTGCTCCTTTCACTTTGGCAAGTCCGACTGGAATGCACCTCCAGTGCCCCTGCTCGGCACCATTACCAAAGCCCAATTCTGTTGCCTTCCTGACTGATGATGTGTGCGCTCCGAATGCATCGGCAAAACCTGCCCTGACTCCTGGCGTTCAAATTACGTTTGCATTAGAGTGGCACTTTCTCATACCTGCATCTTTGCGTACAGCTTGGGCAGCACATATCCGTCAAACACGCAGGCGTCCTGCACATCACGGACCGCTGCCTGCTCCACAATGTTCCTCACAAGGTATCTCTTGATGGCCTTGTCCTGCAGAAAGCAAACGGGATACAGTCTCAGGAAAAGGGTCACAAGCATCGATCAATTGCGCCGCCTTTTGCCCTTATGCCTCAGGCCCCATTCAAACTTGATGTTGCTCCTGTGTACGATCGCTCTTGACCGCTAGATCCCGAAGCCAGGAGTGTCGCAATGACCACACAAACCCAGGCCTCTACGGATTGCTTCACAGCGACAAGAGGTACAGCCCCAGGTTTTAAGGACTGCAGCTGCTAATCTGCTATGGCCTTCTCTTAACCAGAATACAACGGGACCGCGTCCATTTCTGATCATGCACAGCCGACCCTAAGCCAAAGCTCCCTTCTCCTCGGCAGCCCTTGACTTGCCATCCTGTCCTGATATGTGCAGATTGCATGCCCTCTGGTCTGTGTCACAGTACTCTCCGGACCTAGCATCCCTAGCTCACCTAAGCTGATACGGTCAAGTTTGCCCGTCCCCTCTCTCAAAACAACGGAGTCAAAGCTTAAAAAATGAAGCCGTCCTCCTTGAGCTTCCCGAAGAACACATATCATTGCTTCACTGCCTAAACCGAGTTTTCTCTCTATTCCATCCTCCCTGCTCCCCACCTCGACCTCCCCACCTTCACCCATACACATCGGTAATGGTCTGCGCAAACTCCAACAGGATCGCCAAAACAGACCGCGCCTCTGCCGCTTACCTTGGGCACTGAACGACCGCAGTTGGAGCAGCGGATGAACCCGCTGTGCCCACGGCCATGCTTGCTCCGCCCGTGGTTCCTGCGCTTGACCGTCATGGCTGCGACCTGTCGCCCCCTTGTGCTCCTCGCAGAGGGAAAAGAGGAAGAGGCAACGTTGGTGCCAGCCTTTGCTTCTGCGGAGCCGAGGTGGATGACCTTTGGACCGGGGATTCAAACCGTGCACGTTGAAGTTGGTGACTACAGTCTACAAGGGTTTGAAAAGGTGAATCGGGTCCCCGGTAAGTGCGTACTGGGCTACGATTAACCTCGGATGTGTGAGGTTGTTCCACCTCTAGTTTCCAGCTCGTCTGCTCCTAGCGCAGCCTGCTGGCTTTCAGATTATCCAGATGCAATTCTCGATTGCTTTCCTGCCAAGGCGCAGGGTCTTCGTCCATGTTACTATCTCGGGAAGCTAGGACTCTTAGCACCTAGCTAGAAATCAGTGTCCAAGGTAGGGGTCCGTCGCAGCGCAATGGCACCTCCAAGTGAGGACAGTGATGACTGTCCAATGTCAATGAAAGAGATTGACGCCGCCATGCTCCAAATGATGGATGGCCCGGACACTCCCATGAACCGGCAGCATAGGGCATTGCTGCCATTGCTCGATAAGAAGTCAAAGCTGGAAGTGCTGGTCATGACGGACGCCTTCGAGGAGAAACTGAAAAAAGCCTCTCCGAAGCAGGTTCAGGAAATGGTCGACATCGGCCTGTTTAAAATCGTGTGCACGCAGCTCGGGGGGTTCCGCGGACGAGAAGCCCAAGACACCGGCATTGCGATAGCCGCAGACCGTCTTGCTCTCTTTGTCGACGCGATTCTGAACTGTCCTCCAAAGCTTGGGAGTTTGGCGCGGTGCGACCAATCGCGGCAGTTGTGGCAAAGAAGAGGGATTTGAAGAATCCAGAGATTTTGCATGACGAGGCTCTACGAGCAGCCCTGGCCTTTCTAAAGTCGATGGGGAAGCCATGGTACGACCATCTCGTCAATCCAGGCAGTCAGAAGGAGGCGAAGAAAGCATCGGGGAAGCTCTACCGGTGGATGCTCAAAGAAGGGATTGTGGACGCAATTGTCAAGATCTGGTGTGCTCTCCCTGATTTCAGCAGCGCAGAAAAAGAAAAGAGCTACTATCAGAGGCTGTGCCACAATTGTGCGACAGTGCTGTGGTTCGCGACGCTGGTGCAACTTGACAAGCCACAGCTAGCATCAAACGCAGGTGAGATTTGGGAACATTTCAAGAAAGCGAGCAGTGTTTGGGAATCAGATGTGCTTCTCAGATCAGGCTCCTTGGCTTGGTAGCAGTGCTGATTCGCACTTTTATTGTAGCGATTGACTAGTTCCTGATTGCGGTCATGCTTGCATTGCTCAGCGCTTCAAATTCTCCAATTCATTGTCAAGCATAACATACAAGTATCAGAGCAAGGTTCCGCGGCTTAGAGACATTCAGACAGCTTTTACAGCATGACCACCACCCCAAACGCATTTGGCGAGGTTTCACAGTTGGCAAAGATCTCCTCGTTTCTGATCCACCAGTGAGAAGCCAAAAGGCTGGTACACACTGCTCGTTCTGTAACTTTGCCACCACCTTTACATCATCCTGGAATTAAATTCTGTTCAAAAACCCCACCCTTTACACCTCTTGCAGAGCTGCTGAAACCGATCTTTCACTACCTTCTGGAGGAACCCAACATCTTCTCAGGGGTCAGGGCCATGTCGCTGTCGTTGCTGCTGCACCTGTGGTTCCTCAGCGAGTAAGTCAGCGTGATGTTTGTTCGATAAACGTAGATAGGTCTTCTCCAGACAAGGTAAACGGGCCAGGATGGAACGGACCGTCAAGCTTTAAAGTGTAGTACTGTACATCAAGTGGGTCTTGATAGGCTGCTGTATATTTCATTAGAAGAGCCTGCAGCGAGACTGCTTGTGCATAAGAGTCCTCCTTTCCTGTCCTACTTATTGATTCTCCGCACCAATCTCTCGTCTATGAATGCACGAATAAAAAGAATCTGGATATCAGGTGGGCCCTTATGGTGACCAACGCTGCACCTCTACCCAAGCTAGCTGCCTGCCTTGGAACATGGAAAGGACATCATTGAGTGCAATTCTAGCACGGCAACCAGGCCAGTCTGAATTGGCTGAGCTTTGCAAACCGTGCCGGTGCTCAGTCTGGTGCTTCGAAAAGAAGCACGGGCTATGCAATCTGCATTATGAACGGCGAGATCCCAGAGGCGCGTATTTTCGGTCAAACATGACCGTTGAGTTTGATAGCAAAGGCTGATTTTGTATTTCTGCTTGCAGGCCAGCCAAACGACCCGAAGCTGCGGACGTCCGCAAGGCCATTGCGCAACACAAGGACGCATGGAAGCTTCTCACTCTGCTGAAGGACTCCGTAGACAACCCCAGCAAAGGGCTTGAGGGCGTCGAGCCTCACACAGTGAGTGCTCAACTGATCGCTTTGCATCTCATGCTTGAAGCCGATGGGATCCAGATTGACATCTGGACAACCATGCCACTCGTGCTAATTAGGCAAAGTGAGGAGGATAATCTGGGTCACTCAGTTGCCTCATTATGTCTTCGAAACTTGGTTCAAATATCGGGTTTTAGGAGCGGGGTGACTTTCAGTCCGCTTCAGCTGGGGCCCGATCGCCTCTCGTGTTGTTTGTCGGGGTTTTCTTGAGATGCCTGTGTCAAACCACTTTCTGGCCTACCCAGAATGTTTTTGAGCAGCTTACTGATCCTCACATGATCGAATCTTTGAAAGTCGGCCGTTGCTGGCCTCGAACAGTTCTTTCGCTTGTCAGGACCAAGTGGACTGTGTGATACCAGTCCTAACAGATTCCTCGACGACTTTCATTGTGTAGAAGAGCGGTGGAGAGTTGCCGGTTGAATCAAGCTACCGTGAAGACATCGCATACTTCGCCCAACTTTTCTTTCAAGCTTGGGGGCCAGCTTGAGGCTCCGCAGCCGAGTCATGTCACATGTGAAGAGGGAACTGATGTGACTTGCCTACACACAGTAACCCTATTGATTCCTCCAGCAAGGGAACGAACGCAGCCTGATTATGTCTCGAACTGGCCGTAATTTAGATTTCGGTGCTCGCTTGCAGATCGTCCAGGCATCATACGCGTGTCTCCTCCGACTGCTTATCAACACCCCGACGGCCCCCCCACTTCCCACTCCATTTCTCGAGACAGCGTGCCGCCTCCTCGGCACCATCCCTGACGCGCTAGTCTAGATCGAAGCACGGTCTCTCGTCGTCGACCTCTACCACTCCGGCGCCGTGTCAGAATCTCTCCTCCTGACGCACGCCTTCCCGGGGCTCCTAAACCTGTTCGTCGCTGAGGTGGAGCGCCGTGGGGGCGCCACGTCGTCCCCCCCCGACCAGAGGTTGCTGCTCCAGATGACGACCTTCCTCTTGCACGCGTTCGGGCGGATCCTGGAAGACGTCGCACGCCAGCAGGGGCGGCCGCGCGACCCGGACCTCCTGACCGCCGGCACGTCGCTAAGCCTCCAAACCCTGCCGCGGCTGGCCGAGCTCGTCGTCTCGACGCGCGCGGCGGCCGCGTTCGCGTCCCTGCTGACGTCGCCGTTCTACCAGCGGGTGAACATGGCGTGCGCCGCGGTCGCCGAGGCGCTGCACGAGGACGGCGCGGGGTATGAGCAGCTCTTGGATCAGATGGTGCCCCCGATCGTGCTCGCGATCCACGACGGCGACGAACGGGACTGGGAACGGCGTGTGGAACAGGCGCAGCTGCTGCGGCTGATCACTCGGCGCCTGCGACCCGGCTCTCCCGAGCTGCATTTTGCCGGCATGCCGCCGACGATCGACGACTTCGCGCAAAAGCGGTGCGTGAAGTACCACTACGGCTCGAACATCGTGGGCTTCAGCCTTGACCTCATTACCGGGAAGGAGGACCTCATACCGCGACTCTTCAAGGCGCTCGACGCGGATACGCCCGAGTCGCAGGCTGCGCGGTGGGCCACCCTGGAAGAAGCGTTCCGGACGTCGAACTTGAAGGGATCGAAGTGCAGCATGTGTGGGATCGAGGTAGAGGAGCTCAAGCGGTGCGCGCGGTGCCATGGGGCTGAGTACTGTAGCGCGGCATGCCAGAAGAAGGACTGGCCCGAGCACAAGAAAGCGTGTAAGGAGAAGGACGGAAAGAAGCAAAAGTGAAAGTGAGGTCCGCCGTTTCCAGGGTGCTTTATAGTTGGTAGTGTCGATGTGTAGGGCGTTTTCGAGGTGTATACATTAAGTCAAGGGCTAGTGGTCCACCCTGCAGAGAACGTGTTACATAGTAATCAGCGCATGCGGTGCTTTTGCAGTCGTAAGATAGAGGTTTTGTACAAGGCTAGATTGCTGATATCATCATCAAATATTACACAAGAAGTTGTGGGAAATTTCCAACTCAAAAGCTAGAACCACAGTGACTGCGAGTGAAAATTGTCGGCAGCTTGCAATTGGCCATTCGCATGCTAACTCATTGATGCTAGCTCGGTAAGATAGATTATTTCTCGAACCCAGCTGGCAGCCGCGCCTCGCCAGCATGCACCATCATTCATGTAATCGGACGAACTTCCATATAATTCCAGGATCGATCGGATGCATGCCTTAAGATGCAACTTAGAACACATTGTCACAGATCACATTATAAGCGTCATTGCATGGCCGGAATTTGGAACAATCAAGCGGTAGGTCGGGACATGCATGGCAATTAGGCATGCCGCCAGCTAATTCATGTGTCAGAAGGCGAATTCGTTATCCATGACGTGCTCGGTTGAGTCAGTGCCAGACCTATAGGATGTTAATTCAAACAGTCACTGCGAATCGAGGGACCGAGACTTGAATGTTAAGCCATGTTAAGCGCTAGATATGATCGACGGAATTTACATGGTCGGATGGTCAGACATGAAATTGGCGCAGCTAGAAGCTAGTGAATCACAATCTCGTATTCATGCATCAACCTCGTAATCTGATTCGAGAAGCTCGCTCACTCAGCTGACTGTCGTTGCTCAGAATGGAAATAAGTGGCAGCATGGCCATGCTGCAGGTGACTCTGATTACTGCAAGATCCGAGCAGCTAGCTAGCTAATACTGGCGCTCTTTGAACAAAATTTACATCAAATGTATGTACATTGCATCGATTACAGATGCAATGTTTTTGTCTGTAATCGAGAGAGAAGCACGGACAGAGGCAAATGAATCAGGCAATGTCCCTGATTCAAAAGAGCTGGCAGCTGAGCTCAGATTTCCTCCAAAGGCTCGGGCCACCTCGGCTCCCCAATAAGTCTGTCGGCGTAGGCCGCTTAAGCCCGACGCTCGGCATGACGTCACCATTGCGGGCCGCTCGTTCTTTCGCTGAAACGAGGCCCTCAGCAGCCTCCGCAAAAGCCTCAAAACGCTTCTAATCCAGCTCAGGGTCAGCGTAAACCTTCCGATAGACCTGCTTGTACTTGACCCATGCCGCCTGTTGCTGGCAGAGCTTAAATTTTTCAAAGCTGCTCCACTTCGTGTAATGTATCTCGAGTTGATTTGTTACACCAGTCTGGCGCTTGCAGGACGGGTTTCCAAAACCTGATTACTTTTGGCAGACCGGTCAATTCATGCTTCGGCCCGGCTGCCGCCGGAGCCACAAACAATCTGTCTCGCCCTTCATTAGGGCAGCCTCGGAAGCGCAGGGCCTTGAGTGTTTTTGTTGCCGAAAGGCTTGCTTAGGCCGTTCCGCTCTCCAGAGGCTCTTCGATCGTAGAACAAACCGGCCTGGCGATGCCGGCAGACGACAAACAAAATTGCTTGGCTTTCAAGACGCGGTTCACACTTCGACTCGCGGCCAGCCGTCGCCGGCTCTCACTGTCAAAGTCGCAAAAGCGCGGCCGCACAGGGCCGCACCGCGGACCGTCCTCAACCTTCGTAAAACCCTTGCCGAAAACCCCAGCAAAACCCTGACGGGTACGCGCGGCCTGCTTACAGCGGTGGTAACGTCACTCTGCTTAAACCGTTCCTTAGTCACTCCTGGTGACTCTTGGCATCTTCAGATCAGAAGGTCTCCACACTTCCTGAGAGCGCAAGAGCGCCACCTTTGCTGACGTGCAAACGACACTGTTCAATATGGCTAGAGGAGCTCGCGCACGGAAACGGCAGCACTTAGCGGCGGCTGCAGGTACGCGCATTCTAACAAGACTTTCTGAATGTCTGTAAGAAAAAGAGTCCTTGTCAACCAATCAACGCAGACGATCTTGATTCTCCGCTGCCAGAGTGACTCAGTGCCGTTTTCCGCTGAGCTCGCACAGAACACTTACTGAACAAAAACACATCAGCTCCAGAAATGCTTAACACAGGGACTTCAATCGCTGTTCAGTGGCTCTACAGCGCGCTGATTTGATTAAGAGTTAGAATTCACCTCGGATTGGCGAGGAATCAGGTGATCGATGGTTGTTTGTTAATCCGACCGAGCTCTCGAGACAACCATGATTTCTTTCAACTCTAAGCTTTCTTCTCATCTCACGGTCAGGTAGAATCATAAATCTCGACCTGCCTTGCATTCCAGATTAACTTGTGCACTCACGCTTGAGCATATCTTGGAGGCATCTCAACGACTTCGGAGCCTTCGGATACCAAAACTTGACCATATGTTAGCTTAGGTTTCAACTATTCCATGGTTGCAGTATCAAGGATCTCGCGCAGTCCTCGACCTGATCAATCTACCCTTCTCTGCAGATACCTCAGAACAGCATCTTTCCGATCCGCTTTTTTCTCCCGCCCTCCCCGACGAGCTACTGGAGAGAGTTCTGTACTTCCTGAATCCAGAAGATCTGCGCAGCTGCTCTTTGGTCAGCAGGCGCTTTCTACTGGCCACGAACGCAGTACGTACGTCAGTTAGACTCGACGAATGCGCGGGCAAGAAAGTTCTCCTGCGGCTAGCAAAGCGTTTCAGCGCTACTACTTCGCTGCGCTTCGGATCGAGCAAGTACGTGCCACACGACTCCTGGTTGCAGAAGGGACTGCATCAGGCTGTTAGGAGCTTCCCGCGTCTCCAAAGCCTAGACCTCAGCGAGCTCGCACCTGAGGTGTTCTCTTCTTTTGAGGCCCTGAATCCTGTCCTGAAGAATCTCCCACACCTTACAAGTCTGACGCTCAAGCTTCCCCAAGGTCTGATAGGCATGGATCAAAGCGAGCACATAGCGCAGGCTGTCTCTTCAGCATCCAAACACTGTCCCAAGTTAGAAGAGCTGGACATCAGACCCGGCTCTTCTGCCCTCTTTCTGGCTCGTGAGCCCGAGGTGAACCTCATAAAGGCTTACGGGGAGCTCTTGCAAGGTTGTCCTGAGCTCAAGTTCCTCACTCCTATCGTTCTGACATCTGCCGGTGCCTTCGGATCCCTCTTAGGAAAGGTGCTGGAAGTCCGAGGCAATCTGCTTAGCCTGACGCTTTGCGGCGACTCCGGCGGCTCACCTTTCATCCAGCACGATCCCTCCCCCGAACTATGCCAAGCGCTCGACGTGCTGTCTTATTTCGGCTCACTGCAACACCTGACGATCAAGCCCCAATACACAGGGCGTTGCGTTGACCGCTTCGACGAGCTCCAGACGGCCATTCAGACCTTTGCGGAAAGCACCGTTTGCGACTTGCGAAGCCTTCGTCTCATCGGGCTGCCGATATCGGAAGACACAATGGATGTCCTCTTGAGCCGTTTCGCAGAGCTTCGAGAGCTCTGGTTGGCTCCAGTCCTTTCCCCCGCCTACGAAACCATCGTTGACCAGGAGAAAGAGTCGGAAGCAAGGCTCAAGGGCTTGGCGAGAGACGCGATCGGGCACGCGCCCGCGCGCGCGTCCGAGAGCGTGGAGAAACTGGTCTGGGAGTTGAACATCGGGTTAGAGGACCGGGTTAGTCGGTTGGTCAGCCTAGACGCTTTGGTGCAGAGCTTTCCGTCACTCAAGGAGCTCAGAGTGCGCACAGTGCCGCCAAAAAGGCCAGACTCTACGTTTGGAAGCAAGGAACGGCAATGGAGCGTCGTCCGTTACGGCTTTGGTGACGTCACTGCGCCCACTCTGACATCGCTCCAAGTAACGCACTGCGAACTGGGGAGCTTGAAAAGCCTTGGCACCTTCTGCCCGAACCTGGTTTCGCTGCGGCTTTGTAACTCGTTCTTCGGGGCGGAGGAGAATCAGACAACTAAGGGGGCGTGCTTTTTCCCCCACCTGGAAAGGTTGTATCTAGTACGGGACAGAATCGACCCGTTCCTCGACTGGTTCCAGATGGTTCCCCCGGGTTTCGGACCTGTTCACACCGTTTCACACGTCGAAATCAGCACACACTATCTCGAGAGCATCGAGTTTCTGACGTCGTTTCCGCGACTTTACGTACTTCGAATAAGGTTTCTGAACATTGATTACGAGTGGACGGGTCACTGGCGGCCTCTTCTAAAGCTCTGGGAGGTTTGCAAAAGCCTGCGTTACGTGTATTTAGAGGGTCCGGAAGCTGAGAGCTTCAGAAACCTAGTGACCGAGATGCGGGCGTCGTGCCCGCCTCACGTCGAGCTCGGTTGCAAGGAAGCAGTCCCACGGTTCGCAACAGACGAGTAAGAGTCTTTTTAGAAATAAAGAGAGCGAATCTTCGGCTGTAAGCAAGATAGGAAATCTCATGAGCTGAAAGACCGGTATTTGGCTGTCAATCGACCTCCTTAACTGCCCTAGCTCCAGGCCCCGCGCACAGCTGCTGCTAGTATACTGATGGGCAATCTCAGCTCGATGTTCTGATCGTGCACGTATGTAACTTCTGGGTCGCCACGGTCATGGATAGCTCGTGCAGTCACCGTGCAGATCAATCACATTCATGCTTTTCAATCTACTGCGCGGCGCATGAATGCCAGTCAAAGTATGACCATTTATCATCGTACGATTTTTCTGACCACGGTACCACTTTGTTTCCAAGAAAGCAGAACTTCTTGGATTCCCTTTCCTGGATTGATTGTGTAGCTCTTCATAAGCTCATCCTGTTTTACTCTCATTCCGAGAATGGTAGGTTTCTTGTCGCAAGTGAACATACAAATCATGTGTTCTAAACGCAGATGAATCCTTTTCGCAATCAACCATTTCTTGGCTTTGCGGTGCATGACATCATGATGATCTTTACGTCGCCATAAATCTATATTTCCATAGATACCCACTTATCTCATGAGTCCGCCGCCCAGATACGACATCACCACATCAGATGTAACCAGATGCACAATGCCCTTGATGCAAAGCATATATTGTGTGTCACAGTAAGGTCGATTGTCTCATCAAACTGTTACTGTAGGGCTTCTATTGGAAGTTCGTACTTTGAATGTATGACTTGCAACCGACTACATCCGGAGGGAGCTCATTAGACTTGTCAAAAGTCCATACGTCGGATACACGCGCGCAAGAATGTTTGACTTGCACTTGTACTGTCTTCCTGCTGCCATGACTCCAGGAATCTGTTTCACAGCAGGTCTGCGAAAGGGAGGCCAGAACCTGGGCTTCAAGAGGCGCAAGACAAGGTGGAGCCAAGAAGCCTTACTGAAGGAAACAGATCTCGCTCCAAAAGACAGGACAGCTTGCATGTCGAAGCGCCTTTTTCTTTACTACCCGTGCGAGGCGGACCACACTCCAGGCAGATAGAGCACACGAACGGTTTGGATGGAAAGCAAGAAGGAGCGATAGAAGAAGGCGGAAGAAGCAACTGGCAAGTTCTCAAGCTGAACGGCGATAGGGGTTTCCAGTTTGTGTACATCTTTTTCTCCGGCTTCCGACAGCGGCACAGTTTTAGCTCCTTCCGACAAGGTTGCCATACCGCACTCCCGTCAATCATTTCAAATGATGAGCCGGGGGCAGGCTGCCAGATCAGGGTCTCGCAGCTAAGGGGCCGCTGCTATGTTTTCTCTCATTTATCTGCTGTTATAGTGTTGCTCTAGAGTCCTTAAGTCGTCCAGCGGAGAAACCCAGGGCAGCGGGAGGGCAGCTCTAGCTCGCATCCTTTAAGCGTCGATTCGAAGTACCAGCGACCGAATCATGAAGGGCCTTTAGGTGAGTCCCACAAATAATATTTACTGCTCGTCCTCGGCCGCCAAAAATAAAGATGGCAAGGACTTTTAGATTGCCGTGACTGGCAAATTCGATCAAGTGACAGCTTCTCCCCCGACGAGCCGCCAATTTCAATGCATCACAGCTTCAGTATTTTGCGAAGGCCGTATCTTCTGGATAAGTCGTGATCAGCGTTCTCGCGGGTCTCGCAGTGCATCTCTTGTCGCAATCAGGAATCACCGAATCAGAATGGCAAGCCGACTGCCAGCACGAAAGCACACATGTTAAAATTTGTTACGTGCAACTTTTACAGCGCCGCCGAACATGGGACTTCGGCAAGCCATGGATTGAATATGGGCATTATATTCAGCATGTAACGCTCACAGATTCGAGGACCGCGACAACACTTCAAGCCTGATAACAGCACATGATCAAGTTGGCAACAAGCCTTGCTAAGTACCAGTATCAGTACACATGTAAGTTGTACTCGAGTAGTCACTCCTCCAGATTCAACCAGTCACGTCGCAGCTCGGATGCGGGCCCCGATGAGCGGGCCATGTCACGCCTTCTCGTGCAGTCTTGAACAGTGCTGGGCGGACTACTGACACATGTCGGCTGCATAGTAAGATCCACCTCCGGCGTCCTCCGAGGAGTCAGGAATCACCTGGGCGCCTGAGAGGGAACCCCCAACTCTCTGCAGGATGATCCCCTCAGAGTTGGCGGGGAGGGAGTTCCCGGGACTCGTCGGTTGGCCGGGAATCCGGCCTGCATGAATTAATGGAACCTGTGCGTGGATGGGAACCTAAGTGACTTGAAATCCGGCCAGCTTTACGGCTTTACGGCTGGAAGCTAACAGCTACAGTACGGTAGAAGGTGCTAGGCTGGTACTTTTGAGCTCACTCCTAGTGTACATGCACAGCCGCTAGCGGTTTCCGAGGTCGGCGCAAAGAAATTGCCGGGGACCTGCTGGTCAGTGATTGATCGAACCTGGAAAACTTTACTTAGCCCCGGCGGGAGCCGGGACGGGTCGCTATCAGGAGTCAGGACTGCAAATCCAGTCTGCAATTTGGATAGCGGTACCCGGGGAATCGGGACTCAAATGTCGACATGCATGCCCGGATTCAGTCCCGCAGCCCGCTTATGGTGGTCTGTTCGCTTCAGCCAATCACAGCTGCGCCGTGCGGCGCGGAGTAGCTCGGTCAAGCGGTGTATGCCACGTGGAGAGGCTATGGAGCCCGGCGAGGCACAAAGTTGGCGAATAAAGTTGGGAGATTCGGACACGGACAGTTCCGGTGCTACGCTGTGTCCGAGAGCCCAATTGCGTGACGTAAGCGAACTTTTGCCTCGCCAGAATCTCTGACAAAAACAAACTCTGAAGCTGACGGCGGAACGATTTCCGTACGTCCCGACGATACGGACCGTACCTAGTCTTACACCGGCCTGGGCCCTCTGGAGCTGGTACGGCGCCACCTCTGACGGCCCTCGAATGTCGGACCGATTTGATCTCGAATCAAATTCGGAATCTTGAACACGAGTGGGCGGTTGACGGCACGCGTCAGCTCCGATGATCGGACAAGTTGCGGACACACCCCTTGATACCGTCCGGACTTCAAAAGAATCACTCGCGTCCGTGTCCGATTCTCCCAACTTTATTCGCGAACTTTGTACGATTTGCGCCACCGGCCAGCCAGAGATTGCACTTCCGACAAGTTGCACGTGCCACCGCAACGTCCGGACCCCTGAGTCCCGCCGCCGGGCCCGGCCGTTTTCTGATCATGTCCGAGTCGGCGGAAGTACCTACCTACGTACGTACGCGTGCAGCCTGGGACCAATGTGTACACACTCTGTACGTAGCCGCTTGAGCGGCCGCGTGCTTGCTTGGAAGGCTGCAACTCAGGCTATGGCGCGAGCGGTTGTCAATAGATCTGACTCATAGAGGGCATACCGGTACCTAGTATTCAGTACTTTATACGCCATTGAAAACTACCCATTGCGCCAATCACATTAACTCCAAATTTGGGGCAATGTGTACCGTTCATATGCAGCTGGGGGCGCCCAGCTGAGCTAATCAGTCGGACAAGCTGCAGGCCAATAAACTGCACAATGCATATGCGTCTGGCAGGCTGGCTTTCATTTCAACTCCACTTGAGAAATCGAGCCAGAGTAAAGGCCGGCAAGCTTGAGCTCGCTCACAGAGACGGCCCTGTCAAAGCCAAGCTGCGCCCTGCAACATGGCGCCTGTTCAAAGTGTCTCCGCGGCTCCTTGCTCTGCTGGACTAAGCACTACTCCCTTCCTTCTTGCTTTTCTGCTGTGCTGCTGTGGTTTGGCAGCCACAGCAGACGGCGCCGGCTGCTCTTTCTGCCAACTTGATGCAGCTTGCCTCGCAATCTGCCAGGCGAACCCCGCGTCGGGGACAACACCGAGTTCTCCCTCGACCCCTACAACTTGTGAGCATGCAGTTGCCTCAGAAAAATGCGCTTGGGTGGTATTGCGTCTGCGGCTTTTCATTGACTTTAACATGGCTTGGTTCAGCTCGTGTCAAACTGAGGTAGAACGCACCTACGCCGACTCTTGACTGCACGGGTTGCTCCACTGGACGCCCTGAATGATTGAGCTAGCTGCCCGTGCTCCTCTTTTAAAAGCGTTTGCACTTGTTGGACCTTCTTAATGGCACCTGGCGAGTCGCTTTCTTCTTTGACTCATAGCCTTTCTTGGGTCATCGCAGCCCGGCCGTCCACTTCTGCCCCTGCTCTTCCTACGGGAGCACCTGGTGAGTCCTATCAGAAGGCTACAATGTCTGCAATGGCTGATTCAACCGGTGGTCTGACATTCTAGATTGCATGTTTATTATCAAGTGCTGATCCTGAGCTTCTATTGGCTTTGCTCCAGCATTGGAAAGCGTGAGAGGGACGAAATTCAACAGCTATTTCTGACGATGCATTGACTTTTCGTTGTTTGTTGTGACAAAGAGGAACTTAGTTGCATCGCCTCTGCATGCCGGGCCTGACATAATACGATTCCAGAATACGATTCGGATGTGGTCAAGCTACTTCCCACTTTGGAAGATACTGTTTGCAGGGACCCCAGCTCAACTCCGGGTTTTGCATTATTCCCCTTCAAGGTTAAAGTTCCAAAATGGTCTCTGTCCTAAGACGATTACTATTGTGCAGGACCTGCGCAAACGTATGCCGTTGCCTGGCAACGCCCTTTGACACAAGTCAACACGATCAATGTTGGAGACACCATTGAGTGGGACTGGACAGACCCACTTCCTCACACCGTAAAACGTAAGTACTCAAACTGAGGAGTGGGTGGCTTTTTCCGAGTGCAGTACTTCAATCCTACGGAGGCTCTGCAAGAATATTTGAATTAATTTTGGCTCTTTACTTGAAGCCTGGTTTCAGGATCCTTGGAAACATGTCGAAGCGGATCTGGTGGCAGCGGGCTTGATCAGATTGGCAAAAATGAAGTGTCCCCCTGCAAGTGTCAAGGTCGGACCTCGAAGTACTTGGAAGCTGGTGACATCCCTCCCGATTTTAAAACGGAAAAGCAACCCTGGTCTTTCCCGAGGTCAATCACAACACTCCTCAAAATGCTCTCTTAGCAAATACAGCAGGGAGTCGGGATCTGCATTCCTCTATTTCTGCATCTGTTCGAAAGTTTCACTGTTGAGAGCAAGCTCGGTGGGCCGGTGTGGTCTGGGGGAAACCCCGTTCCGTGGGGGCTGCCCACCTTCCCCCCCGCGAGGAAAGTAGAAAGAGTCAAGAGCAAGCTCGTCTGAACAGCTTAGGTTGACGAGCAGCAGGGGCTTAGACGTTCTGCTTCGCTCTGTCGCTCCTGCAATGTGCTCCTGGTTTAACTGTTCCTGGTCAACTAATCCTGGTTAACAGTCCAGGTACACGACCAGGGGCTTAACGTCCCCGGTTAACACGCTTGCTACTGCCCACGAAATCAGAACCAACGTGCTCATACGTTCATGCTGTTTTCTGTTCTCTGGCAGTCGACACGTGGCCGGCTGGTTTTACGGGCTTTCCTTACAATGGCGCGAGCGGGGTCTACAAAGTCCCTGCCTCGCCCGTGCGTGCTCCCTTCAGCTTCTCCTTTACGCCAACAGTAGCTGGGACTTACACGTATCACTGCTCTTACCATTCTGAAACGATGAATGGAATTTTGTACGTCCTAGGTGAGCGTCTATCTCTTTATATGTTTATCCGGCAGCTCTCTGACCCCGCTGCTTGCTTCGACACGGGAAGTTCTGGCTGCTAACCGTGCTGATTACCAGACTCGAGTCTCAGGTTATCGAACAGATAACCGGGCTGTAACCTTGCTTCAGGGCTGGTTACCGCCCAAGTCTGGCTACTGGACACTCAACCACTTTGAAACCAGCCCACAGCCAGCTCATAACCAGCATGGTTATGGGCCAAAAACTCCTGTGCGCGATCGAGACGCGGTGAACCTTTGGTCAGAGGCTTGGAAAACTGCAAGTGTTCGTTCTGACCACTTGTCGAATCGCTGTAAACGTTCATCTTGACCTTTGGTTCTCGTTCTGATTCTTTAAAAACGGGACGAGTAAACCGTAAGAAGAAAATTGAGGACTCTTCTGGCTTGTTTGACTTAACCGTGACCGTGTCACTTGGTTTCTAAAGTCTTCAAAAACCCAGATTTTCAGCGTTTTACGACCTACGGCAACGGCGTCAATCGTGCTTGCCATGCTGACGCTTGAGTTGACTGTGCAGCCACAGGAAGCTCCTCGGTTCCGGCAGCAACTTCGTCACCCCCGGTCCCAACCTTTGCACCCCCGGTCCCCACTTTGGCACCGCCGGTCCCAACTTTCGCACCCCCGGTCCCAACTCCGGCACCCCCGGCCCCCACTTTCGCACCCCCGGTTCCCACTCCGGCACCACCGGTCCCAACGTTTGCACCCCCGGTGCCAACTTTTGCACCCCCGGTTCCAACTCCGGCACCCTTCCGAGTCGCTCCAGCTCCGGCACCCCCCGTCTCGCTCCTGGCTGCACCTGCGCCAACCACGGGCCCCTTCTCAGCCCAACTTCTGGCTTCCCCTACAGGCAAGGCTCAGTACTATTCTCGAGTTTATGTTGAGTTACGTCATGCCCGGGGGACGGGTGGGGTTGTGTTGTGGGTTTAGGTTGGGTATGGGTGCAGGTTACCTTTGGATTTGAATCTTCTGTTTGTTTTGAGCCCGGGAACTTCTAACTCAACATACACCCTACCTCCACCGTACGTATAAAACCGAGACTTATGCAAGGCTCCATTCACCTGGTTGGCTTTATGGAGAGTCGATCAGCCTAAGAGCATGGATAGCCAAAGCAGGCTGTATCTTGATCAAACGGTTCAACGGGATCCGTAGGCTGTAGCCCAGACCGGGAAAAGGGAGACAATATCTAACCCAGGCCCAAACGTCTTGGAATCCATCGACCTGATTGATCGGCAGAGCGTACCTAACCTCAAGCAGAATCAAGCAGTTTGTGTAGCCGTCACACAAACATCTGGAGTCTTGCTGACGGCAGAAGCAACGGCGGTGTCCAGATTGGTCAGACGCGCGGTGGTTCGAGCAACTGGGGAGCACCCCCGAGATGTAGACGGTCGGGACTAGGTCACGTCTAGGGGAAGCCTACCTTGAAACAAGTCTGGTTATTAAGTGCCCTTTTCGAAAATTGTCCCGTTTTGAAACTCGCCAAATCGCCCTCCACCAAGCGTCGTCAAGAGCCGAAGAACCAGCACTTTTAGTTACCCACATCAAGGTTCCGAGTCTCATTTCGGTGCTTGAACGACTGGAGTCAGTATAGATCCTGTTGACTGATTCTAAAGAGACGCTAACAAATGCTGAGCGCGACTTTGTAGGAAGCCCACCGTCCGTCGGAACCTCGATGCAGACTGCATCATCGGTGGTGCCCCCGGCGTCGATCAGCCCACCTACGTCAGCAAGCATCGCGACCCTGGCAAGCGGTGAGTCCTTGAAACGAAGTGGTTACGTCGATTATCCGACAGCTAGGATAAAGGAGTAAACTAGGAATGGGCACCATTTTACAGCTCTTGAACCACGCCTTCAGCCTCCAACATCGCGGCCCGGGAGATTTTTTAGCTGCCACCACGTCAAGGTCCGAACTAAGCGTCAGCCGAATTGTGGGGGATTAAGCGATGAAAGTACGTCGCCCAGATGAATGGACGTAGGGGCTGTACAATATCCCGGTCCGAAATACTCCGACTGATCGTTGCTTGGTCTTGGTATAGTGCAAAGCACTACAACCAGCTCCCTTGGTTGTGTCTCTCCTTGTTTATCGCGTGTTCGATCCAAATATTTGTAAAATGTGAGGGCAATCAAATTGTTGGTTAATCTATTTGGCATCAGATGCTTAGAACGTTTTTTTTTCGAGTCCTTGCAGCGGATTGGATGGTCGTCATCATCCTCATCAGCACCACAGCGTCTCTTATGTGCGTCTTGTTTTGAGCATTCAGAAAAACTAAACTAAAGCTAGAGCAACGGCCTGTAGATTGGCTGAAGTGCTGAGAACTCCGGAACGGCCGCAGCTCGTGCTCAAACCGCTTGTATTGTTTTGCGTTCATAGCTAGTCTCTCGGAGTGATCAGGATAAAATTAGGGAGCGAGAATTTTTAGGCACGTGCGCACAAGCCTGGTCCTATGAAGGACCGAGCAAAGGGGATTAGGCACGTCCGGATAAAGTATCTCGCTCTATAGTCATCAGTATTTAGGAAAGCGAGAGGGACACTGAGGCACATATGCACACATAAGTTACTAGTCAAAGAGCAGAGTCTTGACGGTAAGTTCGAAATGAACACGTTCGTCCTTTTTCCCAGGATCTGGTATTTTCAGATTTGCCGCTCCGTTTCGCGATCCATTTTCGCATGGCGCATCTTTATAAATCGCTTTTGACCCTCAGACGATCCATTGTCATTGTCATGGCACCAGTATAGCTGAGCATACTAGCATGTAGGTCACAGATCGGCACCATGCTGCATAGAGATGAAATGGTCGTCGGATCATGCATGCGCGGGTACGGGTCGAACGTGGTCCGAAATGACAAGCTTGTGCTGCCGCGGGGCAGTTGGCGCTGGCTTCTGTAGCGCAACGATGTCAGGTATTTGTCTAAACATTTGAATCACGTAGTAGGCGCCGCTATACTAGGTTTCAACTTTACTAACTGTGACATATAGCCGCGCTAGCTGCTGGACCCACCTAGACGAAGCTACCGTACGAAGTCGATCGGACCTGGTGACTGAAACACCATGCACATACAAGAAGATGGACCGGGGCCGCCGGCCACTCAGTTACTCTGTATGCTCAATCCAATGATTGCAAAACTAACATGATATCCAAGATTTGAACACTGATTGAGCCAAAATTTACAGGCTTGGCCGCGAGCTTGTCCGACTTTCGTATAGGCGCTCCTCGATTTGGATAGAAATGCAATGTATGACCGTACAGGATGGAAACCTGTTCATATATTTTGGCCGCCCGCATCCGCGCATATGAGAGCAGATTGACGATTCTCGGAAATGCGTGCCAAATACTGGCACAGGATAATACTGCGTTGGTCAAAACAGCTTGTGACGCAATCGACGTAATGGCCCGCCTGATTATAGAGAAGCCCCGGCGGGTTGGAATCAGATGTTGCCCAAGTGGCTGCTTTGCTTCCTTTGATTGAAGATTCAGCCCTCTTCTTCCAATACTTGTTTGTGCACCCGTACACACGTCGTGCTGCAATACTTGAACTGCAGCCTATGAAAGGGCACTTTTCCGTCCAAGGTATCCCCACAGCAGTCACACACGTTCGCTTGTTTACTCTCCTGCTTTGGTGCGCTTTCTCCGACTCCAGACGAGCTACTTTCAACCGGCTGCAGACGCTTCTCTGCGGCCAACGCCCTCATTTCTCGCTCGGCTCGACGGGCCCGCACCAAAGCCTGCAAAAGGAAAACAGGCGACATGTACATCTGCTGTGCGCCGTTACGACGGCTTTCTTCTTTGCATTGGCAAACACCTTCGACCACCAGTGCGTGAGCGACTGGTGCCAGCAAGAAACAAGGCGCGACAGGCCTTTATGGAGAAGCTTTAAGCTATTTCTATGCGGAGCTGCTCAGATAGAGTTGAGTGGTCATGCACTCAATAATCCTTACGAAACGGGTGGCCAGATTATGTGTATGGATCCTCTCGGTAACCATCGAAGACGTATGGCTCGTCATCTTTACTGGTCGATGGTGTGCGCACGAGCATACTCTGTTGTCCGAACATGCAGCACCTTGTTACAACGTGCATACAAAGACATTTGCAAGGTTCCGTGAAGCGTTCGACTACTTTCTTCCAGCCAGCAATCGAACCAGCACCTTTCGGCGGACTGCGAGCAGGGCTTCAAATGGCACAGAAGAGAAATTGGAAAAATGAAACAAAACGGCTCTTCGCTCCAAAGGACAAAGAGCTCGCCGGCAAAGTCGTCTTACTTCTCTGAGTATTCCAAGCGGTCTGCAGTTCAGGTGGACAGGGGACACATCATAGGGCCAGAGCATGAAGCAAGGAGGCAGAATCAAAGTGGCTCCATCTTCCCAGAGCGCAAGAAACCTCAGTCCTTACCTCTTCCTTCTCGGCCTTCGACAGTGGCACAGCCTTCAGCCCCTTCCCCTTCCCATACCGCACCGCCGACGCCGCTGCAGCCGCAAGCGCCGCGCTCTCTTCCTCCTTCTTCCGCGCCTCTTCCGCGGCTTTCGCGGCCGCGTCCTGCGCGCGCTTTTCTTTCTTCCGCTCCTTGAGCACTTCCTTCCGCTTGGCCGCCTTTTCCGCTCGCTTCGCCTCCTGCGCGGCTTCCTGGTCCTCCGTCAGGGGGCTGGGGATGGCGGCGAGAGTGTAGTCCCACCGGTCGGGGAACGCCGCCATAAATCTGCGCAAAGAATGAGGGACTGCTGGCTGCTGTCGCAAGAAACGCCAAAGAGCACAGCATAGCGAACGAAAGCGCAAAACCAAGACGTTTCTGTGGGTGGGATTTTGGGGAACAAAATGAGAAGAAAAACCCTAAAATCCATGTTGGCTACGATCGTAGGGAAACAGACTGGGACTTCGCTGGTCGAAGAACGTGAAGCAGTATGTTCGTCACAGTCGTAGGAGTTGTGGGCAGCGGAAAAGAGTCACTGCAGAGAGCTAGGTATATGATGACGGGAAGATACAAGATGGGGCTGGAATGGATAAGGGAGTGTAGGCCCACTGATCCGTAACAGTAGCACAAGGTTTGTTCAGACAGGTCGCTGTGGTTGGGCGAGAAGGAAAAAGTCAAAGATAAAAGCGATCCCGCTTCTTGGATCTGTTTCAAGGTGCTCGAGAATGCGGTGTGAGAACAGCCACCTTCCGAGAATGAGACTACGTGCACTTCTTTCATTTTCGCGCATGTTCTTCCTTTGCTTTGCATCCTCTGGCTACCAGACCGGCCAGATCGCCGCGGCTTTACCGTCTTGAATACGACAACCCATTTACCCACTAGATCCAACGTGCGCGGCACATGACGCCGTGCGCCGCACATAACGGCACGCGCCGCAGATCACGTTGCGCGCGCCAATATCCCAACGGATCCACAAACACCAATTGCAGACTGAAGTTGGACGTCGATGTCCACTTTTCACGGTTTTTACAGAGCCCAGAAATGTGGAGATTACCTCCGGAAAACGTTCCGTACGCCCTTCTCCTTCGCTGCCATGTACGGCGTCCGCCCTCGTTCGTCCCGCACGCACGGGTCCGCGCCACCTGTCACGGGAAGGATTCAGCAGATGATCAACCCGGGAATGCTCTCTGAAAGCGAATTTTGCGCGCCACTATTTTGGTGCTGAGTACTAGCATAGCTTTGGCGTCGATCCTTGCGGCCTTCCGGCCCTCGTGCAAATGTTAGCTTTCATTCGAAGCCGAACGTTTACTGAATGCTTGCACTCAGGAGCAACCTGAACAGTCCAGATGTGCAAGTGAGCGTTCGCTAAGTGAACCGCTTGCAGTCGCGGCCTGCCAAGTGTACTTTAGCCTTAGCTTTCGTGGCCCAACAGAAAGTTTTTCAGATAGCAGTCTAAGGATCGCACTAGGGGGAACACTAACGCTCCGCCGTACGGTCCCGCATGATCCGAACCGGAGCATGCCCGAACTCCGCAAAAGGGTACGCAAGCGCACATGATGAAGAACCCTGATAGAAGTAATTCCGGTGTTAGCGTTTAAAGCTCTACCGTCCTTCCTTAGCAGAAGGATAAAGAAGGGCTAAGGGATGAAGAAGCCCATCAAGCACGCAACCTTCGGTATCAGAATCCGAAGCTCTACCTTCCAAGAGATCTTGTATCCGTTCCTCGTCCCCACCTTCACTGGCCACGTGCAGCGGCGTTGCGAACGACGGCCTCGATTTTCACAAATGCAAAAAAGGGAGTAAAGAAGAAGCCGAGCAGATTTCGGAGTCAAATTTTGGACTCTACCTTCCAATAGCTCCTGTATTCGTTCCTCGTCCCCTGCTTCACTGGCCACGTGCAGCGGCGTTGCGAGCGACAGCGTCGGCTCGGGGGCGGGTTCCGGCTCGGGCGCGGCCGCTTTGGAGGGTTTAGGAGGTTTAGGTTTCGGGACGGGTTTCGAAGTTTCGGCCTCCGGGGCGGGTAATGAGGGCATCATTTCGGGGCGGGTGTCGAGGGCGGCCAGTAGGTGGACCACGCGCTTCGTTTCGCTGCAAAGAGAAGAAGCCCTTCTCAGTTGCTGGCTTTGTCGTACTTCGATTGATGCGCTTTCCATGGGGGCGGAAACAGGAGGTACAGGCAACCTGCCGAGACCGGCAGGTGTTCGCAGCAGCGTGAAGGGGCGACCTATAAGGCGCGTGTTCACAACAATGCATAACGTGAATAACAAAGTTTCTGCCTGCCAATGAGCCGAAGCATCTCCTAATGGCAGAATCCGAATGGACTGCCGATATAAGGAACGCAAACAGGCGAGACGCCAGATTCTAGAGTACGATGGAGAAAGTTGGATGTACCTAGGTAGCGTCCGAAGGCCGCTCTTCTGTTTACGCGTTCGAAGAACCTTTAAAGATCGGAAAAGAAGCACAAAAGCGACATTTGACGAGCTTCAGAACTGTAAACTCGAAGAACCTTCTTTGGGAGAGCTCGTACGGACAGGTAGCATTTCAGACCTCCACAAAGGCTGAGGTCTCCCCAGAAAGCGTGGAAGTTCAGTGCGGGCGTTTGCAACGAGAATGCACCAAATGTTTCCATGGACCTTGGAAGGCTGCTTGCAGCTTCACCTGAAGGTCGGGCGTCGGGTAACGAAGGGGATGCGCCGCAGCCGGGGATCGTCCCTCTGAAGCGGCGGGTTCTCGCCTGCGGAGCAACCGCCAAGGAAGACGTCAGCCCTACCGACGCTGACGCCATCAGGCGCTTTGCGACCACAGTGCTTCGGCATCGTAAGTAGGCGCCAGAAGTGGCGGACAGATCAGTATCGCACACAGTGAAACGGCCACGGCTCCTAAGTTGAAGAGTCACTCAGGTGATCTCCTGCTAAGATGCTAGATCCTCGTTTACCAGCATATACAGCCCTCCGCAACGAGTACCTGCACAATACGACCGAGTTTGGTTGCAAAAGGAACAAACCGAAGACTGAGACAAGGGCCGGGCTAAAGCACTGACCAAGAAAGAGCGTTTTCTGGTCCGCAGAAGATGCTCGTACGAAGACGAGGGCGGCTGCTCGAAGATGCTCCTGCCAGCTGGCAAGCACGTCCCTGACGTCCTGGGGTAGAAGTGACGTCACAACGGATACTTAGTAAGCATCTTTGCTGACTTTCTGAGACACATTCGACGCCAGAGCGCTTCTCCATTCTATCGGGGACAGTTGCTGGCTATGTGCTTGAGTTATACCGGAAGGCCTTGACAGGCATCTTTGGCAATCACGAGTGAGACGTCTAAGAGCCATAACGCATCTACTCAGATCGAATATTTGCACTGTGGATCAATTGATTCTATGACTTCACCGTGATCAGGGCGCCTTGGAAAAATCTCTACTCCTGTCGTCGAAACTCTCGACTTCGTGGTGAAAACAATCGACAGTACCACGGAGGGATTCATAGCTGCGTCTTATTGACGCAGTCTCTCGGCCAGTTCCCTGTTTTGCAAACTCGTTCAGACTCAAGTCGTCTTAAGAAACAATCAAAGAACTTTTCGGACAAGCAAACAGGTTTTCCAAAGACGAGCAGACCTACTTCAGGGATACAAACGTTGCAAAACATAACTCAGACGACGAACCTTTTCCAGAGCAGCTTCATTGTAGCGACGGAGTGATGCGCCCCCCGACTTCGGCGCCCTTCCGGTGTTGTCCTTGGCCGACTGCCGGCCCCCCTGCTTTGCACGCACGACGTACCTGGCACGGAAAGGCTGGTCAATTGTTGACCCGTCCTTTGTCTTCCGTCGGCGACGTCTCTTCTTGCCCTGATCTATTGGGCCTGTCAGTACAATCTTTGCCCAGTGCTGATTTCCCAGGAAAATTCGAAGACGAAGTTGAAAGTACTGGTTACACCTCATCCAGGAGCTGCGTCGAGAAGGTCAGCCTTTGACCCGAGGTTGAACGTTCTTGATTTGTGTAATTAACTGAAGTTGGCTGAAAATCGTCTCAAGCAACAATCAAATATCACGACCATGTACCTGTGGGCCGTTGAGTGCACTAGGACCTGCCCCTTTGAGTCGAACACCGCTCCCGCAAAGTGGCCCCCACTGAGCAGTAGAACCACCCAGGGCCCCCGGCCTGGGTCCGCAAGCGCTTTCAAGCTGGCTATTGTTTCGTCAGCAGACAGAACCTGCACACGATTGACAAGTTCGGACTGCCACGCAATCTTTCGAGGGAACTTTGTGAACCTGCATCAGGAAAGTTCGCCCCTGCGGCACCTGTGAAAGTTGAGGGCATCCTCAATGACCCTGGAGACACGTGGGGCAACTGTGGATGTGAATTTTCTTTCACGACTCCTAATATCGTTCAACGCAAACATCAGGGTAGAAACGCACTTCGTGTGTTTGATGTCATGTACAGCCGTGACCTTCTGCAACAGGCGATGTGGAACGAGGAGTGTTCAACAGCACAAGGCAGAATCATCATGTGATTCACGACAGAGAAAGAGGGCAGGAGCCAGAAACGACACAGCTTTGCTGCATGCATACAATCCAAGCACGGCTGTAGAAGCTCCGTCTCGAGGGAGTACCATAGAATCTGCAAGGTTCTTGAGAAACTTGCAGCCCGGAGAGTGAGAAATCTGGACTGACCTTGTCATGAAAGCCAAAGAGCTGCTCCTTCTCCCCTCCAATCAGGCACCTCCAAATGGAGAAAGGAACGCTTGCTGAGGTCTGGAATGCAATCCTCGCACTCCGATGACTTGGCTGCTGTGCAACAGAAAAGGTTGCTTGTTGAAGTCAAAGTGATCTGGTGACCACCAAAGGTTGAGGGGCAGCTCGACGCTATGAAAGCATGGCTGTAAAGCAGGTTCGGGAATGAAGCAGAAGATAACGAAATGATGTTCCTTCTCTCGATATTTTGAATCGCAACAAGGCCACTCCACGCGCATTCAGAGGCCATGCCTCATTCAACTCAATGCAAGACTTAAAAGACACATACTTGAAGAACATTAGATACATGCACTGACAAAACTGCGAGTGTCCTTAACCACGACACACTTACTAAGCGTGCAGTCCTGGCACCCACCTTTGCCCCACTTCTTTCAGCTTCATCCTCACTCTCTGAGCCAGATATGCTCTCAATGTCGCTGTTCGGCCCCTCTTCCACCATGGACTCAAAACTCTCCAGAGAAAGAGGGTCCTTATGACTAAGGCGGCGCTTCACCTGGTGGGGAGATGTGGACACGCTTGATGGTGTTTAAGCTTTGAGAGAACAATTTATTGTATTTTCCTGCAGCACCTACACATCGCGCTGGTCTCTCACGGTCAGAAACAACCACCACTATGTGATCAGTCTGGGAATGACAGACCTGCCTACTTAATGCCACCATCGTTTTTTCTAAAATCCATCTATCATTGTGAGCAACCTAGCCAACAATCAACACAAATCACAGTTGTCCACAAATTGCTGAACAGTTCGTCCCCTTTCACTCACATTTAGTCGATGCCAATCAGACCGATAGTGTGCCCGCTGCTCCTCAAGAGATTCAAAGGCGACCTTCCCACAACCAAGGCATGACCACTTGCCCATCTCCGCGCCCTTCTCTTCGCCTTTCTCCTGACCTGCCCCTGTGGCTCCAATCAAATCACCATTTCTTATGTCATTAGCAACGTCACTTGTCACTTCCTTAGAAGCAGACTCCTGTGCTTCTTGATGATTATGAGGCGCTTTTCCCGACACCACTGCAGACTCCAGCAGCTTAGAATCCGGAGCAGCTGAGCTTTTAGCAGAGTCTGGACCGACTGAACTTTCCCCAATCTCATTGGATGCAACGTCTGCGCCGGGAGCGATGCCAGTTTGATCCTCGCTGATCCTTCTTGGCTCAAACACAGCAACACCGCTTAAGAAGCTGTGAGTCAGCTGGAAGATGTCACTAGGAACAGATTGCTCCAAAGCCTTGGGAACAGCAGCTTTGGGCGCCATTGTTGGGGCAAGGCGCTGGGCGTCAGATGACCATTGGCATGAGACACCCTGCTATCTGCTGCATGTCATGATGGAGCCTGAGCCTGAGGAGAACTGTGAAGGACTGCATGTGAATTCAATCAGCGGATTAAATTCGAGCAATTTATTTTGACCTTAGCGAGAGTCGAAGTTCGACGCCGAGCAAGAGTGCATCTGTCCCGTCACGGACTTTCGACGCTGCTACGAGCTTGTGCAGGCTGAATCAACACTGAGCACTTCGAATCGAAGCCTTCGAAACCCAATGAAATTTCCTCAGCTCTGACGTCGAAACAATGTTTGGAAATATGGTGAAATGTCTGTCGTGGAGCAGCTCAGCTGAAGCCAGCTGAAGCCTGAGGTTGAATGCAGTGAAATGCAACCTTCGCGTTGCCAGGACAGAGGGGCTCGTGGCGCTCTTTCACACATTGTTGCGTGTTTCTGGCAGTGGTCAAGGCCTTGGAGTTCAGATTGCTGCTGTTAAGCACTTTGTTCCCATGTCAAGGATCGTCCGCGGCGCTTAGGCCTTTCAGGTGTGCGCGACGTCAGAGAAGAATGAAGATAATGTGGGGTCATGCAGGGCAACCAAGGTAAGACCAGCTGCTTTATCATTGGCAGGGACATAGAAGTTGGCATGACGGCCAGTGCTCGACCGCGAGTGGTCAAGAGCTGGTGGCGCTCTCAATAGCAGTGCGGACAGATGATGTCTAAGGATGACCTGATCAGAATGCACAGAATCTTTCCAGTTCCATTTGAACATTCTTGTTCCTGTCATATCTTCCTGCTAGTTGAACGCTGCCATTGGTGCTTGTGAATTACCCTTCAATTTTTTTGCGCGTGCAGCCTTCCCAAGCGGATGAGCGCCGTCGGTTCTTTCACGGTCACCATAGCGTGCCCAAGACTCCCCACTGCCAGACCAACGGGTCAGGATCTCCCTCTTTAAGAACATGAGAATCTGCTTCTGGCATCCAATCTTTTCTACCCTGAAAACGGAAGGTCTGCTTCAATGAGGCAGTCCTGCGCTATTTTCTTACTGGCTCTGATTGCATCGTCCTTGAAACAGCGGATCGTTCTCAAGCCCGACGCAGGTCCAGCACGGAAAAGTAAACATTGGAGTCCGATTCCAGTTGACTTTGATTCCGCTGCAATCCAAAGGCAAGCGCGTGAACCCTTAACGCTTTTCGAAGGACGAAACCTGTGCCCCGTTCTGGTCGGCAACAGTTCCTCATTCGAAGCTTAGAAAGCGGTCAGAAAATGAACTTTCCTCTCATTCTCATGCAGATGCCGCGGGTCTGGACGTTGACATGCAGCCCAGTGCGACTCCCCCGGCGGAGCCTATCCGCCTCCCCGAAAACAGCGAACCGCCGCCCAACACTGGGGCGGAGAGCCCCGCCGTCGAGCGAAACCCGTCCCCCGAGCTGTCCTTCAGGCCGCGCGCAACGGAAGCGGACGGAGATACGCGCGAGCCAGCTTTGGAGAGTCGGAGAGGGAATGGTACGCAAAGCGGCAGTGAAGCCAAGGAGGCGGTGTTGCCAGGGGGGAAACGGCGGCGGATTGTTGAGGAGACGGCGAAGAGCGCAAGCATGGGGGGAAGTCCGGGCGGGGCTTGCAGCGGATCCGCAGCAGAGGGGCGGAATGCGAGCAGCAACGAGCCAACTGGGAGAGCGGTGAAACGAATGAGGAGGGCAGATGCTAATTTTCCACTTCTTTTGTCCCTGCAGACCGTGCGTTTCAACGGAAATTACTATACCTATTCCGGAGGCAAACATCCAGATTACGCAGCCATCGATGTCTAGAAGCTAGATTACTTCGACTATCAAAGACTGCAAAATGCTTGACCTTCCTGCAGGGTGGATGTCCGACCACGTCGGAAAGGTGATTGGGCAGCACGATGATGTGTGGACGTTTGCGTACCGGCTCAGAGACGGCTTGGACAACCAGAATCAGCCGCTGAATGTTTGCCCCGTCATAAGGGCAGCTAATAGTTGCTGTCAGAATCGTTTACTTGTTCTTAGCTGTCCCCCTCAAAACCTTAGTTCGGTCTTTTTAGGCCTATGTCGAGCGTCCTGCTCCCTTGAGATTGTCAGACCTTACGAGGTCCGCATCAACTCCCTGATTCCAAATTTTGAGATTCTAGAACGGCCTTCTAGGCCTATGTTGAGAATGCTTTCCCCACGTCTTGCACAAAACCTGCTCGACGTTTGTGAGCAGAAAGATTCCTCGTTTGTTAGATTGTTCTGACTGGCATCCTCCCGTCCGAAAATTTGACTGAATCTGCATATCAACATCTTGTTAACAGGGAATGGAGCCGCTACCCAAGTGTTCGACAATAAAAGTCTGGTTTTGAAGGCACGCAGCTCGACCCGCACGCCAATGCGGGGCAATATTGCCAAAAGGTATTTTTGCAGTCATCTGTGCGTCACTTCTGATGGAAGTTACGCTGTCTCGATAGGTTGCTCTTTTCAACGTTCTTCAGAGATTCGTGTGCGTCTGAGAACCCGTCCTTGTGCAAGTTCTCCTTGCCTGGAGGCATGAGCACAACCCGGCAAACGAAGTTCCAAAGTATGGAGAACCAGTCAGTGACTCACGACTTTGGTGTTCCACACCGTGCAAATTTTTGATGCTATTTTGTCATTCTGCTTCGCCTCCTCTGCTTCTCGCCCACCCGTCCCGCTGCCTGCCTGCATTTGGAGCCCCGATGCGGTCTCCTGGGCACCGTGACTTTCTCCAATCCGGAGTGCTGACCGAGGCTGGCAATGTTGTTGTCGACCTTCACCGCGGGGAAGCTCTGTCCGAAACGTTTTGTGAATCCACACCTTCCCGGGGCTGCTCAGAGAGTTTCCTGCTGAGGTGGCGCTGTGTGATTGTGCCACGTCGCCCTCGAAGCTGCTGCATGACGTGACGGATGTGTGACGGAAGTCCTGATGGAAGTGCTCGGGCGCGCGCTGCGGACGGTGTCTGAGCGACAAGGCTTCCCAGTCGCTGCCAGTCGCTTAGGGATCGGCGTCTCTCTAGCCCTCCAATGCTGATTTCGCTGGCCGAGCTTTCTGTAAGAAAGGGGGCAGCGGAGGCGCTAGATTCCTCACAGTATCGCAGCTCCGTGGCTGAGCGATTATTCTTTGCACGCAATTGCAGAATCCTTGGCCCCAGACTGGCCACTCATTACGCAGCTTCTGGATCGAATTGTTCCGATAATCGTAGTCGAGATCTTCGGCTTGAGGCTTGAGGTCTACGGGAGTTGGGATGCAGTGCCGCTAGAGCGCGCGCCGCTCTTGCGGCAACAACTGGGTGGTCCGACTGGCGACCCCGTGCTGAAGTTTGTCAAGATGCGGCTGCTCGGGAAGGCCACCCACTCAGTCCGGGGGCGCCGAGTGAAGTACGACTGCGAATGTAATTTGGTGTCCTTTGGTGTGGGCCTTGGCGTAGGCGAATAGCGTTTAATGTTGGACCTCTTCCAGGCACTCGGCGTGTATTCTCCGGAGGGTAGACTTATGCGTTTGGGGTTGGAGGAGATAGAAAGGGAGGCCCGGTTGGCTTTGGAGGAAACGAAGTTCAGGGGTACATCATAGTGTAGCATTTCTAGGAGTAAAGGAGCGGCCCGGCCTCGAGGCCTGAGGTGTTCGTTGTGCTGGAATGATGTCTGTTTCTATGTTGTAGCGTAGCATGTCATTAAAGAGATTGGTCGGGTCACAAAATGATGCATACATGGAAGGGCCGGATGGAACAAAGCGATAGCAGTGTCAACTTGTAAACTCAAGTTTTGAGGGCAGCCGTGAGCTGTACGAGCGCATGCGGCCCCTTAAGAGTCAAGCAAGTACTTACGCATACATTGTCTCCTTTCATCTGGACTCTGATTGCTTGCCATGAAGGTCCGAGACAGTGAAGACAGCCAACTTTGTATGAGTGTTTAAACACCATGCTTTGATCATGGACAGAATGACCCGTTTTTGCAGCAATGATTGATTACTTGAATCAATTATGAGTTGATGTATGTCTGATCGAGCATTACACTGAAGGGCCCTCGTGGCACCTTACACACCTGCGCGATCATTCAAAGACGATCCTAGATAGACGTACATATACCAGCTGCATAGATGCATGAATTATTGAACACATAAATTATAGGTATCAAATGGTGTTGGCCGCCGGCCACCATGGATGATTGTTGTACGTATTTGTATACATGCAATTATCTATAATCATAGGTCTCATGCAGCCATGGCTGCATATGATTCGTGCATGATCTGCGGCATCTTGTGCAGCAAACGCCGCATGGTCGCGTTGACTATTTGGCACACAACTGGACCAAAAGTCGGGCACATGAACGTAAATTAGTGACTGCAGTTGCTTTGACAGTGTAGATTGGCGGGCGGCCGCGGCAGGTTGATTGGTACATCAGTATTGTGATTATTCATCACTAACGTCAGTAGTTAGGCACGAGCTTCCATGCATCCAATTGCAGGGAATCCTACACAACCACTGACCGGAAGCTGTACAGATTGGGGCGGGGGGCTAGGTTTGCTGCGGGTCAACTGATAGGCTACCCAGTGACCTAAATTGCTCTAAGGCTCATGAAGTAACGAGGTCTACGCGTTTAGCTAATTGAGATCAGCCTAGCAGTATGTCTCGACTGTTACAAGATTTGCATCTTTGTAAAGATCAATATGTACATTTTTTGCATCTTAGTAAACTTTCAAAATGTACACTTCAAACTAAATCTTTGAAAGGCTTGTATGCGGCATCAAATGCCAACAACCACTCAAGATGTCTATTGGTCGATTCAAGTTACAGACTACTCCGCACAAGGTTAAGATGCCCACAAGCAAAAGCCATCTTGCATTCTCTCACGCTGGTCCTGTGTAGACAGCATTACCTTTCATCAAGGAGTCGCATAGCCAGCTCGTGTACGCGGTCCCGAAAGCCAACCTTCCTAGCCTCTTCATTCTTCTTGTCTGTCATGGGAAATCTGCAAACAACAAATAAGTTTTTGATTGACTGTAATAAGCGAAGAGCTGTAAAACGAGCTGTGTAGATTCATTCGAAACAAGACAAATTTTCAACATTAGCCCTATGAGAAGGTTCCTTCTTCTTGGATCGATCTGATGCCATGCAATGAGTTTCAAGACAACGCTCACTCCCACAACCCTTTGATGTGCCCTCCTCCAGAGAGCGAATACACTATTGTCAACATAAAGTGGTGGGCACTCGATGGACAAGTCATGATGACCTTCGGCAACCCATTGATTTCAAAGCGTACCAAAGAATTTCTGCTACTTGCAATTTCAAACACATCCACTTCCCCAGCCCAACACCATGGCACAATGTCTGCTCGTCAAACCAGATCCGGAAAAACCTCAGCATGTTGCCCATAACAAATGAGTGGCCCACGCACCTTACTTGAGTAGCTCAGCTTACAGCCTCCTTTCAACACTTCTAGGCACTTGAGGGATGGAAACAACAAAAGGCAAAGCCCTGAAGAGGCTGCGATGTGCAGTATGGGTACACATGTGTCAGCAGTATAATTTGTTATGAGAAGTAACTTACTCCACTCCAATGAACTTCGCGACGTACTTGTCGTACTCCGCCTCGTCCTCGAACGGCAGGTTGCGGGGCCACCTCCTTGGAAAATCAGCCCGAGTCATTTTGCGGTACCTAGTGACCTCTTTGGGATCGCTGGTGGACGGATTCTTTTCCCCTGAAAGGAATAACCAGCAGTCAACCTACTGCTACTGGAGAACCTCATCCCTTTAAATGACCAACTCTGGGGCCAGCGTCAGGGCCTTGAAAGTAGCGGACAGCGTGACACATTTTTACTGCTTCGAAATTCTACTGCTTGCTTCTTGAACAGGACTCAGCTGTAGGTGTAGATGTAGATACTTTCAATGCTGGCTTGCACTCCTGTTTTTCAATGCATTCTGGAAAGTTTGAGATGTCAGGCAGCAGAAGGGTTTTAAGGCTCAACGTGGGCGCAGCGTCAATACTACAAAGAAAGGGGCAGTAGATATTCATACCCAGCTCGGTTGGGCTCTTGATCCCCCCGCTGCCCCCCTCAGATGGTGTCATGCTCGGCTTCTTGGCATCAGTACTCGAGGTTGTGGGCCCTTCTCTGCTGGCATCAATCTGCAGAGGCTATCATTGATCAACAGCAAATGAAAACAAGGCAAATGTACCAGATTAGTGGCCCCGAAACTTCAAAGGACACAGCAAGTTTATCTTGGATGCGAAGAGCTAGAAACAGAAGCCGACTAGCCAGTGCAATCTGAATCAGAATCACAAGAACCGGTTGCTTCTCCATTGTGCGCCTGCAGCTAAAAGGGCTGATCAACAGAGGCAGGTCAGGAGGGAATCCTTGAAAGTGAAAAACCCTGATGTTAGACCAGATCAGATAAGGATGGCTGGAGAGCAACCCTCTCAAAAGTGAAATTCAAAGGTGAAGCAGGAGACAACTGAGTCATGTCGCCTCTGTCAAACCTTGAACAGCAACAAGGCCACTCGACGCAGCCTTTTGGAGGCCATGCCTGAGTCGAAAAGTCCAATGTCGTATATCCTAGATTACACAATCTGCAGAACATTTGATACGTGCGCAAACATGATTGCAGGCCTTTGTAACCACGCCACACTGACTGACCATATAGTGCTAGCACCCACCTTTGCCCCGCTTCTTTCAGCTTCGTCCTCACTTTCCGAGCCAGATATGCTCTCAATGTCGCTGTTCGGCCCCTCTTCTACCATCGACTCAAAACTCTCCAGAGAAAGAGGGTCCTTATGACCAAGGCGGCGCTTCACCTGGTGAGAAGATGTGGACACGCTTGATGGTGTATGAGCTTTGAGAAAACAGGTTCTGCATATGTACATGCTTTGCTGGTCTCGTAAAGTTTCGCAAACAACCACCACTATGTGATCAGTCTGAAAATGACAGACCTGGCCTACTTAATGCCACCATAGTTCTGATATGTTTCCATCATTGCTACAGCAACCTAGCGAAGATTTACCACAGGCTACTATTGTGCCACAGGATGCTGAACAGTTCGTCCCCTTCCACTCACATTCAGACGATGTCAATCAGACCGATAGTGTGCCCGCTGCTCCTCCAAGGATTCAAAGGCGACCTTCCCACAACCAATGCACGACCACTTGCCCATCTCCGCGCCCTTCTCTTCGCCTTTCTCCTGACCTGCCCCTGTGACCCCCTTCAAATCACCATTTTGCGTGACTCGTGACCATCGCTTGTAACTTCCTTAGAAGTGGACTCCTGTGCTTCTTGCTGATCACGAGGCGCATTCTCCAACACCACTGCAGACTCCAGCAGCTTATGATTCTAAGCAGCTGAGCTTTTGGCAGAGTCTGCACCACCGAGCCTTCCCCCAGTCTCATTGGTTGGCATTGAACGTCTGCGACTCTGCGTCAAAAGTGACGCATGTTTGATCCTCGCTGATCCCTCTCGGCTCAAACACAGCAACACCGCTTAGAAAGCTGTGAGTCAGCTGGAAGATGTCACCAGGAACCGCTTGCTCTGAAGCCCTGGGAACAGCAGCTTTGGGCGCCATTGTTGGGAGACGATGCTGGGCCATGCATGAGACAGCCTGCTATCTGCTGCGTATGCACCATGGAGGAGAAGGGACGACTGTGAAAATTAATCAGCGGATTTGTTCGAGCAATTTCTTTCGAGCTTAGTGAGTGTCGAAGTTCGACGCCGAGCAAAAGTGATTCTGTCCCGTCCCAGACTTTCGACGCTGCTACGACCTTTACTGTAAAACGCAGGCTGTAGCGACTTTGAGTACTTCGAATCGAAGCCGCCGAACCTCGATAAAAAAGTCTCAGCTGTAACGTCGAAACGGTGTTTTAGGAATTGGTAGAATATTCATGTGTACGTACTCTGTCCCAGCTGAACACAGGCTCTCTGCATTTGCAAAGACTCAGAGCAGTGCAGGGGGGCTCATGCCCAGCTGTGGCGCGCTCTTGCACATATTAGTTCGTGTTTCTGGCAGTGATAGAAGGCCTTGGTGTCCAGATGTGCTATTATTAAGCACTTGAGGGCCTTCTGCGGCGCGTTTGAAGCGCAGGCCTCTCTGCTGTGCCGCAACATGGAAGGATGAAGATAATGTGGGGACATGCAGGGTAAAAGAGGTAAGAGCCAGCCTGTTTATTGTGGGCAGGCTCATAGAACTGGTCACGACGGCCATTGCTGAACTCTGAGTGGTTACGAGCTGGTTGCGCTTTCGAGTTGCAGGATTGACAGGTTACTTGGAAGGATCACCTGATTTGAATGCAGGAAAGGAACTTCCAGAAACCACATCCTTGGTTTTGGTATATCCACTTGCTAGCTGGAGGCTGAGTTACCCTTGGCTGCGAAAGTTACCCTTCACTTTGTGAAAGTCAAGAGATAAGGACGACAATATCGCTGACAGAAGAGCCCTGAACTGTCTGTGTAACACTTTAAAAACACTGGCAGATTGGGGGCAGTACTGTCAAGGAGGAACCTGAGCCCCTGAAACTGTTGGCTCATGTTCTTTGCTTATATTGCTCATGCGAAACATAGAGGTTCACGGGCTTGAATTGTACTTCCACCAGAGGTGATGTTAAAAGGGCTCAATTGCATTGGTTAAAGAATTGATGTCGCAAGAGTTGCCTGGCGTATCAGCTACTAAAACATTTTATTGCTTTACAGGTCTGTGCGCTGAACCCCCTGGATGCCATGCAACGCACTCGAGCAGTGGCAGCATCTCGGTAACCTCCGAGAAGGCCTTGTGACGAAGACTCAGAGGTCTCAACGCGCACAGTACGATGGATGTTGAGTCTCCTTACAGGCCCCTTAGGGCACGTCCCGCATTGTCTTCCGGAAGCAACGACACGAGGGCCCCAGACCCTGTGCTAGATGCTGAGATCGAAAAGTTGATAAATAACCTAGTCCCAGATGTTCCAGAAGTGGACGTCAGGAGGAGTCTGAGTCCGGCGCGGATGCCTCAGAGAGTGGCACAGCCTCAGAGAGCTGCAGTTCGCACCAGATTGTTTCAAAGAGAGGACAGCGACTGGTTGCCGACAACGGATGCCTTTGCCTGGGACAACGGGGGGGAAGACGGCAGAGAGGCAGGTGGGGATAGG